CTGAAGTACTTGTTTTTTTAGCAATTTTCTTTCAAAATATTGGATTTCATGCATGCTTGACTTGCTAGCTTATTCTTCTTGCCCCCACTTTTTTCAGATTGAGATAATGACTTCTTCTGGTAGGCGTGTTAAAAGGAAGAATTTGGATGAATGTGATGGAAACTCAATTAGAAGTAATCGAACTAGGAAATCAAGGATTGGCAGGAAAGCTTCAAAGAGTAAGTCTTCCACTTCAAAGGCCTTGAGACCTCAAAGAGCTGCTGCCCGCAATGCACTTAGTTTATTTTCAAAAATTACTGGAACAGCTACAGACGCAGAAGATGAAGATGGCTCAGAAGGTGACTTATCAGAAACTGAATCTGGAATGCAAGACTCAAATATTGAAAGCGATGAATCAGATAGATCTTTGCACGATGAGGGAAACAGGAATTTGAAAGGAAAAGATGTCCTGGAAGAGCCTGAAGACTATGCAAAATATCATGAATTTACTGAATCTCACATGAATACTATAAATAGGAGGAGATTGGTCCTTAAACTGCCAGCTCGTGATTCTAGTAAGATTGTGCTCCCAGAGTGTGGAATGCACAAGGGTGACAGCCAGGTTGATTTGGTTGGATCATCCTCCAGAGCTACTCAGGAAGCCACTGAGGTAAATGGGGTTCCTACAAGCTCTCAAGATCCAGGATATTTTTCTGGTGATGTGCATTGCAGCAGAATGGATGGAGGAAGAAGAGCACAGATAAAAAATTATCCTTTGGACCTGTCTGAAGAATATAAAAATGGGGATATCAGATGGGGAGGTGTAAAGGCTCGTACTTCTAAGCGTCAGAGATTGGGAGAATCCATTTCATCAGCAGCATATACTGGATCTAGTGCATGCCTTGGTGAACACAATGAAAATGAAAATAATCTCAACAGGTACTCAAAACTTCAGGAGGATAATGGCACAATATCCCCTACTTTAGAAGTTCAAAATAACACGGACCAAGGAGTTGCACCAGTGAATGGAAGAAATGCTGGTGCTGATACCTTTGAGCTTGTAAATGATGTGTCCAATGGTGAAGAGCACCCAACCTTCAACGGATGCCTGGACTCTGATAAATTACCAACCCTGGGTCACATGGTGAATGGGAATGACAACCCTCTTGATCTCAGAGAGAGCCTCCCGCCTTTCTCAACAAAGATAAGGATAAGATCAAAAAAGATATTGAAGGACTCACTAGATAATCAAGGAAATGGTAGGTGTGATTTATCTACTGATAATCCTGCAAACATGACACAGAATCCAGTCAAGGCGATGCTGGAGCATAATGGCTTTAATGGAAGTGCTTCAGAATATAAAGGTGATGGATTGGAAGAATCAGATACTCAGATTGGTGAAATTTCCATGCCATCCTTGGACAACTCTGTGGGGTCCCGTTCAGATCCGAAAAGGATGTTTGATGTTGTTTATAGAAGGTCAAAGCCAGGCAGAGGTAGAATTAGCTCAGAAGGTGATGGTAGCATCAGAGAGGACACTCTAAATGCTTGTGATCCTCATCTTGATTTCAGAGGGGATTCCTATGAAGGCGCATCTGGTGGATCTCATAGAACATGTTCCATGGGCTTGAAGGCACCTGCACATGATTCAAATATGGCAAACAATAATCTCCAGTTGGAGCAGGGACATGAATCGGATGATACTTGTAGAGATGCCCTTGACGATTCCATTAATAGATGTCAGCTTTCATGTGAAGAATGGGGATCCAGCTCAAGGATGACAGCTCGCTTGAGATCTACTAGAAACAGGAAAGCCAGTTACCACTTTCGTGACACCAGTCCAGTAGATGAAAGGAAGTTGCATCAGTCAGCCAAAAAAGCATCATGGTTAATGCTGTCAATGCATGAGGAGGGGTCTCGTTATACCCCCCAGCAAGGGGATGAAGTTGCATATTTGAGACAGGTTAGTCTGAAGAGATGCTAAAGATTACTATCTTGATTCATGCCTAAGGTTAATTGCAATTTAGGTCTTATGATTTAAATGATTTATCTTGGAAGCTTCTTTGTTTTTTCAGGGCCATCAAGAGTACTTAGATCACATGAAGTCTAAAGAAGCAGGCCCTTGGAAAATAATGAAGGGAAACATTAGGGCGGTCGAGTTCTGTAAGGTTGAAGCCCTTGAGTATGCTGCTCTTGCAGGATCTGGTGATTGTTGCTGCAAAATGACACTTAGATTTGTAGATCCTACTTCCAGCGCATTTCAGAAATCATTCAAGTTAACTCTACCTGAAATGACTGGCTTCCCAGATTTTCTTGTTGAGAGAACTCGGTTTGATGCTGCCATGCAGAGGAATTGGAGTCGTAGGGATAAATGTAAGGTCTGGTGGAAAAACGAGGGTGAAGAAGATGGTGATTGGTGGCATGGCCGGGTTCTATATACAAAGCCCAAATCTTCGGAGTTTCCTGATAGTCCATGGGAGAGGTGTACCATTCAGTACAAGAGTGATCCCAAAGAATTGCATGAACACAGTCCTTGGGAGCTTTTTGATGATGATATTCAGTTGGAGCAGCCTCGTATAGATGAGGAGATCACAAATAAGTTGTTGTCTGCCTTCGCCAAATTAGAGCCATCAGGCAAAAAAGACCAGGTAATCATGCATGAGGGTGGGAAAAGAATTTATGGTATAAGATCTTTGTAAATGTTTTAGATGTGGCTACTAAATCAATTCAAAGATATTGAGGGGACTTGTCTGATTTTTTTTGGCGCATCTTCAGGATCACTATGGGGTTGAAAAGCTAAGGCAAGTTTCACAGAAGTCAAATTTTATTAACAGGTATATTCTCTTGCCTTTTTTTTTTTGTTCTGAGACGCCTGGGTTTTTTTCAAGAAGCACGTATTAGCAGTAACTTGCAAAATTTTTGGTGCTTGAGCTGGTGTTTGATCCCTGAAATTCCCAGGTTCCCAGTTCCATTGTCTCTTGAAGTGATCCAGTCAAGGTTAGAAAACAACTACTATAGAAGCTTGGAGGCATTGAAGCATGACTTTGAAGTCGTCCTCTCAAACGCAGAATCACACTTTGAGAAGAATGCAGAGCTCTCCATAAAAATGAGACGTTTATCAAATTGGTTCGCGCGGACATTATCATCTTTGTAGCCTCAAATTGTTGGGATATTAGTTGGGCCCATCTGGTTTTTCCCCTCATAATTTTTTTGTACATAATTTTTTTTTATATTTACGAGGAGGTATTTTACCCTCTAGCTTCAATTTTGGGAATCGGTTTTCCTTTTTTTTTTTTTTTATGCGTTATTTTAGGGGAGATAGAGTTCTCAGGGGAAAGTAGCTTGATTGCTGTGGAAAAAATTCCACAGGAAGATTCATTCTTGTATAGACAACATTGTTAGCATGCTCACAAATGAATACAGAAACTGCCCACCATTTTAGCCCCTGGTTGCCGGCGTTGTCGTTCACATTCCAGTTCTTGTTCTCAAATGGCAAGTTTGAACTTCTTGTTCTCTAATGTTTTAGGAGATAACGTTCTAAGTTCTTGTTTGACGCCAAAGCTTATTAGTACAATGCCATTTAGGTCTACATTGCCATGGTATCTTATTTAATATTTTAATGAAGTATATATTTTTGTTATCTAGAGATATTTATTATGGAAGAATCTTCACTCATAAATAACATGCATTAGTATTATTTTTCACATTTAATATTACTAAATCAATACACTTTTAAACACTATAAATAAATGATCTTTAATATTATTAAACTAATATACAAATATATCATCTACAATGAAAACATATTGATAAATTATTCCACAAACATTTATAATCACTTAAAAAAAAATATTGTGATTCAAACAGATAGAATAATTTGCATAAATATGTCAAGTGATGAGATGTTTGAGTTGCATCAAATCTAACCTATTTTATAAACAGAGTAATTTTTAATCATCACTAGATTCTGTAAAATAATATAACAACTTTGTTTTTTTGGGTTCTTCGGGCTACTTATTTGTTTTTATATTTCAAAAATATTTTAAAAAAATTTGAATTTTTATTTTCATTGCTTCAAATTAATATTTTTTTAATGTTTTCATATTATTTTGCTGTGCTGATGTTAAAAATAATTTTTTAAAAATAAAAAACATTATTTTAATATTTTTTAGAATAAAAAACATTTTAAAAAATAATTGCAACTACACTCTCAAATACTAGTAATAATTATTTTTTAAAAAAATTTCACTTAAAAATATATCAAAATAATATTATATATATATATATTATTTTTAATAGTTATTTTTGATATGCGCACATTATATAAATTCAAATACATAAAAGAATAATTTTAAGCAAAAACAATTTAACAATTTTAAGAAACATAGTTTCAACTATATTCCCAAACTTACACTAACCATACAATAACAAAAATCACCTCATTTTTCTAATAAATATAAATAGGTTCATATGCGATAGGGTTTCCAGGATTTATTTTTGATTTCCTTATTCCTTCAACTCCAATTTTAAATTTGAAATACTATCTTTTTTTTCTTTGTTTTACTTTGTGGATTTCTAAAATCTTAACTTTCCCAAACTGATATCTTGCTTCCTGATTCTTTGCTTGGCAGACAAGTTTTTAGCTCTAATTAGAAACATCACATTATCCAATATTTGAATAACTATTTTCTACAACTGTTTTTCTCTTCCTTTGCTTCCAATAAATCGTAAATGTTTTTTACCTAATTTATAATCACAATATCCATGTGTGAATAGTTTCTACTTCATACTCCTTTGTTTTCGAGGCTTTACTCTAATTAATAACACCACAATATCCTGTAATTATATAATTGCCCTTCATGTTTACTTAAGTTCAATATCTTTAAAAAGACCAATTTAAAAAATAATAATATATATATTGATAAAACTGATGAACTTACTAAGAGAATACACACAAATAAACTCACCATAACTTGAATTGTTAAACAAGTTCAAGGTTGGACTGCCCCTTTCGCACACGAATGGCGCCTGTAGCTCTAAATGAAAAGGAACCATCGGGAGTTTGGGCATTATTAGGGAGGCCTAGAAACATCAGACCTTTTCTTTTTCGTAGTCTGAATTGCATCATACTGAAGTGGTTGTAACCGATAAAGTCTGGCCCCTAAATTTGGTTTCTCAATGATGATATAAAATCCTTCCGCGTTGACTATTACTACTATGAAAGTATACAAAATGATCGCAAAAACCTCCACAAAATCAGCAGATAAAGAACCCGTGCATGGGATCTAACTATATGATATAGTCTATATCAGTCTTGAAAGCATTTCTAAATGTCCTAATTAGAGCTTTGATTGATGGACAGATAAATCTCAGTCTCTCCACCTGTGGCAACAATTCGGGTTGCAGCACACAAAAAACAGCGTCCTAGAAGTTGCCTGCAAAATTGAAGAAAACACCACATCAGAAGTTAAAAGAATCAATCGCTGCTTCATGAATTTACTGTCATTCAAAGATTACAGCAAGTTCATTGATTAATGATCCTAATAAGCACATTTGATTAGTAAATAAATTCTAAATAAAAAACAAAGATCTTAAATAGATGGTACTGTCCAATGCTTGCTTACACAGATGCACCAAAAAAAGAGTTGAAAACGAATTAATAATAGACATCTGCAATCATAATGGCAAATCAGAGGCAGGTACATACATGGATAAGAGAGAAGATGACAGCCAATTGTGAGTTTCTCACTTTCCCAGCAATGGATTCTACCATGCACTTCAATCTTAATGGAAAGTGTCAAAAGCTTGATTTTTAGAAAGGGTGGCTGTATGTTAGAGTATTAATAAAGGCATTTTCTGCCAACATATATGAAAGAGATCTTTCAAGAAAATACCATCTCAACCACAATTCCTGCTGCAACCACGATGAGCAACTTCTAACAGGGTGTCGCTGTAGAGCAGTAAAAGACGAGACGAGTAGCTAGTCTTTAATGTAAATATAAATTTTACCCGAGACATATAGGGCAATCCATGACACATAAACCAATGAGAAATGATGAAACAAGCATGTGAAGAGAGGAAAAACACGGAAACTCTTCAGTACATGCTAATCTAATCTCATTTGTATTGGAAGAAAAGAAACAAAGAATGTGCAATCCTGTCAAATTAAAAAGAATAGTGCTTCTGTTAACAAGGCACAGAGCCCTTTCCTTTTCACTTCATCCATAGGATATGCCAAAACCATCTCCAATGTGTTTCTGTTCAAGTATCACTAACACTACATCCTTCAACTAAATTTGCATGTCAGAAACCCACAAACAACACGTGGCATTGTGTTAGATAAAGCATACTCATCCTCTTCAGTTGCAAATATGCCATAGCAACCTTTCACACAGATACCCCTAAAAATCAAACCTAGGTCATATCCTACCGTGTTTCCCCTTTATTAATGCCTACGTTTTCCGCTCGTATTCAATCTGGTTTTGGATATAAACTTTTTAAAATATTTTCAAAATAAGCACAGCCGCTCATCAAAATGACGCAAACAATTTTTTGCCAAAGACCAATTAACAAGCGCACCAAAAAAGAATCTTTACAATGCTAACAGACCCAGATACCATTTTTTTAATAAAAAAAATAGAACATATTCCTATTGGCATTAAATAGCATAAAAAAATGGTACTGGCCTGGAAGAAGACAGCTTCAGGATGTTTGCAGACAGTGCAAGTAACAGCTTTAGTGCGAGGAAGAGTAGGGTCAGCAGCTACATGTAATACCTGAGTTTTCTCTGCTACTGAGTGATGCACCTCTTTCAGTACACACAGTTATTATCAGCCACTTGCTGGGAAAAAAAAAAAGGTTAGGGTTTTTCGTTTTAATAAATAATGGGTTTAGTTTTAAATTGAATTATGAATAGCCTAAACTAAACCTGGTGATCACTGATCACAGTTGCGGAAAGCGTAAAGGAGGATTTTTTGGTCTCTGTCTTCTCTAGGGTACAGAATGTTGTTGCTGCAAAACATTCAATCAATTAAAAGACCCGAAAACAAACAAAATGTGAGTCTTCGAACAAGATAACTGGTGTTGTTACCATTCACGGAAAGATTTCATGGTACTCATCTAGCAGCTGCTTTTCTTTGTTATCGAGAAGTATTCTAGGCGAGGGAAAAATATTTGTTTTCGTCCTTGCGCTAGAACTGTGCGGAGGATGGAATTATAATTTGTTTGTGGTTGATTTTTAAATTATTTTTTATATTAAAATATATATTAGTAATATTTTTTATTTTTAAAAAATTAATTTTAATATCAATATATTAAAACAATTTAAAATATATTAAATATACTTAATTTTAACAAAAATAAAAAATAATATTTTTTTGAATTTTTTTAAAATATAGGTTTAACTGTATTTTCAAACAGTCCTTTAATTATAGACCTCTAATAAATTGACATGTGGTTGTTAAGCACACGAGATGTTAGTAAGTTAGCCTAGAAGACTCGTCATTTGATAGAGGAGTGGATGTGAACGACATGTTGTTCCATGATATTTCCCCAGTCTCAATTTTGGCTGGAAAAATGTCAGCCCTCTAATTTACTAAAATTTAATCAATAAATGAAGAAAAGGAGGAGGTCGAAGTTAAATTATTATGACCTTCTCAGATTGACAAAGATAATTATGGTCTGCAAGAGAGATATTTTTATTTTTTTAAAATTACTTTTAATATTAATATATGATTTAAAAATATTTGAAAAAATTAAATAAAAATTGAATTAAATAAATAAAAATTAAACAGTGCACTTGGCAAACAGGAAACATGTAAGCTTCGGCTTATAGTACCCGCAAATTAATCCCCTAGCATGCATGCAATTGTTTTGTTTATTTTTAGAAAATATTTTATAAAAACATTAATGAATAAAAAATATTTTATAGTTAATTTTTAAATTTATTTTATTTATAAAAAAATATTTTCTAACTCATAAATTTTTATAAAATATTTTACCACTAATTATCTATTTATAATATCATTTAATTATTTTAATTACCATATTTATATCACCACCATCATCATTATCGTCATCATTATATCGCTCTCTCCTCTACCACCATCACCAATAAAAAATATGTCACTTAAAAATAAATTATAAGAAGATATTTCTTAAGCAAAAAAAATAGTTTACATGTAAAATTTTTTACTACAAAAACAATTCATGGAAAAATATTTTACATACAAAATATTTACCATCTAAAAATTAAATTATTTTACACAAAACAAACGGCATAAAACACATTCTGAGTTCTGTTATATGCAGATAATATTTTGCATTTTCTGCCACGGGACTCTTCATTTCTTTGGTCATAACCCATGAATGAATTTTTATAGCATGTGATATGGATCCTCTGGATTAAAGACACATCACTTGAAACTTTCAAAGACTCAGTAAATTATAACAGAGCACTCATTTTTGTCTTTATATCACACTTGAGCACGCAAAATCCAGACATACAAGTCAATACCAAGACTTGGATACAAATGGATACGTTGCTTATTTTTTAGCCCAACAACTCAAAAGAACAGACATTTGCTTCGTACCATCTCTCTCCCCCTCACACACACAGAGACACATATCGATTATCCACTACTGAGTAGGGATATCCTGTTATTCCGCTCTCCTGGTAGGAGAGCACTGTGTTTTCAACCCATGGAAAAGCCGTTCACCGACATCCCTCCATCAATACAAATGACCTGTCCGGTTGTGAACGATGGCCCGGGCAGGCAAAGAAATGCGACAACAGAAGAGACTTCTCCTGGTTCTCCAGCACGTCCCATGGGGGTCCGATAACCAAGCTCCTTCACAACACTTTCATTTTTAAGACTCTGCAGGGAAAATGAAATAGAGGTGACGAGTCATTGATTAGGTAATTTCAGATGATCATGACGAGCCAGGCAAAGTCACCTAATGATTAATTATATGAAGTGATACAAGGTCATTTAACCTCAAAGAAAACCCAGAGAAGGCATACTCCCAAAAGAAGTAACCACACCTAGAAAAGCTAAGTTTCATACCTTCCTCCAATTATTTATTGGATAAGAACCATGCATGATCATTTCATTAAAATGTCAACAGACAACACTTACTTTACTATATTTCATTGAATTGTAAAAAATACAAGATGCAAATTTTAATCAAGGAAATGGACTTTCATCGCATGAAATGTTGAAAATAGAGGAATGATAATTTTTTTGTTAGCAGCAACTACTTGCTTGCACATACATGGAATGTATAATTCCTTGATGCCTTTTCGCTTCGAAAGAAAGAAAAGCATCTGCTGTCCTAATAGCATCCATGTTCGTACGAAATTTTAATTACATGGTCAGCAAGAATGTTAGATATAGTTTAATTCACTTCCTGACATTCACACAGATGTACCTGCATTTATAGTTTCATGTGAATAAGCATTGAATGGGAAAACAATATATGCCAAAATGGCAAATTATGCTTCCATCAGACAATTTTTTAGGTTAACCAAATTAAAGCATACACATGACAGGGTAGAGAATATTACATCTTCATTCATTGGGGTGTTGATGAACCAAGGAGCGACGGAATTAACCCTAATATTGTCTTTGGCCCATTCGCATGCCAGGTTCCTTGTGAGTTGGTTAATTGCTCCTGTAATTTTTTTGCGATCACAACAAGTTACAACATTCAGAACAACTCTTTAACTACATGCACAGAGTCTTGCAAGAGAATTAAGTACCTTTAGAGGCTGAGTATATAGGATATCCAATGTTGACAGATGTCACGCCGCAAATAGAGGACACAAAGACAATCCTTCCAGCTCCTGAAGCTTTCAAAAGTGGATGTGCAAGTTGGGACAGATGGAAAGCAGATTGGAGATTTGTATTCATCATAAATGAGAAATCCTCAGCCGTGTATTCTAAAGTTGGTTTGTATACATTGGTTCCAGCATTGTTGATCTATATATTCATCAATACAAAGTTGGTCATAATAGCCCACACTGATACTGAAGACAAGTTCTTCAAATATATGCTTACGAGAATGTTGAGTTTCCCACCAAACAGGGAGGAAACCTCCTTTATCAGATTCTCTCGGTCAGCTTGAGAGGATACATCACAGACTGATCCGCTAACTTTAAGACCCCTCTCCTTCCATTGACGTAAGCATGCATCAATCTGGCCTTGGCTCCTCGCACATGTATGAACACATGCTCCTAGGGCTGCCAATTCTTCCACAACAGCATATCTGGTTAAATTTTAATTCATAATAAACAGAAAAAAGAAAGGGGTTAGTTATGCCTGGACTGTTGATGAATTGAAAGCAACCGGCACGTATTAATACATTAATTGGCAACCCAGGTGTCCATGGACATGAGAGCGAGGGATTGGTTAAGTTTTCTGAATTTTGAGCTCGAACGTGTAAAGAATAACATGAACACATGAGAGCATTCAAATATGTAATACATAATGCATGATTTAAAAAAAAAAAACAGTCTTCCCGCGCTGGAGGGATGTTCTCTTCTACTTAAGGATAGATGCCGTTTTCGCGTGCCTAATCCATCAAACTTTTCGTAAATTATCTCTCTCAATGACATGCTTTGATGATGAAAATACACATTCAATTACTGTTGTTTCTGGTGTGATCTAGTAATTAATAAGAACAGGAACAAAAACCAAGCAAGAAAATAAAGTAAAATAAAATTTGTTAATCTGATCAAAACAACAAACAAAAAGGAAAGTAAAAATGAAGCAATGGGACAGGGAATTACCCGATCCCTTTGGTTCCACCGGTGACAAGAGCAGTAGTTCCCTGGAGAGACCATCTGTTAGTGATTTCTGGATGAGACATCTTCACTGCCTACTTGGGAGATACAGTAATTCTTTGCTTTACTTAGGAAGGAGATGGAAGAGCTGAACCAAAGGAGGTGTCTTTATTGTAGCCACCCAGTCTACTGTACTGGTAAAGGTAGACCCTCTCAAGTTGCCAGAAATATCGAGAGAAATTTGTCGTCGGTGAAGTTCCACGTTTTCCTTGCGTACTATTTGCCCTTTTTTGTTTTGGAAGTGGCAGACACATGTGGGGCTCGGTATTTTGGATAAGGAGTTGAAGGGCACCGCTCAAACGCCTTGCGTCGCCAGCTGGTCTAAATGTTAATGTCATTGAATTAATTAAACCTGCTTTAAATTTGATTATCCCAGTTTTACCTCTTAATAATAATAATAACATCAAATCTTCATACATTCAAGATATAAATTCTATATCTATAGTAATTTTTTTATTAAATTAAGTTTGTTTTGTTTCACATCTATCTAAATCAAACATGTTAAATCAGTCGATTAGGATAAGTTTTTTCTTTAAAAAATATATCTTTAAAAATGAATAATAATAATAATAATAATAATAATAATCATGTATTAATATATTTTACAGTTTCAGTACATATTTGATTCAGATGATTTATTAGTCTCAGATTTTGAAAATTACAAAAAAATAACATAATTGAAAAATAATAAATATATAAACGATACATAAATATACCATTATAGATTCTTAAATAGTTTCAAGAACATTTAAAAGGATTAATCTCATTTTAAGAATGTTTTCTTTCTTTATTTTCAAAGAAAATAAAAGAATATGTAATGTTACTTACGTTATTTGATTTAAATAACAAAAACATTGGAAGTAAATTTGACTATTTTTTTCCCCAGTTTCACTCTCTAAGTTTTAATAAATACTTTATTTATTTATTTATTGACATGCATGCAAAAGCTCCCTTATTATTTCACATGTACCCTTCTGAAGAGCTAATGCTGAGGTCATTGCATCCGCGGCGTACGTGTCATCAGCACGTCGGTAAACTCAGAAGGCACTTGTTTTCATTCACGATGCTAATGAGATAAGATTGGGGTTGTTAGCAAGCACAGGTGTTTTGGGGTACTATTTTTTTTGCTTTTAAAAAAAAAAAACAACGCCAGGTACACCTCCCTTGTGAGACACGGAACGAGTTTTCTCGGCCAAAAAAACTCCATAACGTTAAAAATTTTATCTTCATTTAAGATAAATTGGGAAATTAGTATACAAAATTAAAAAAAATGTGAATAAACATATCAGCAAGATTTTTTAATTACACAGCATACTTTTAAATGTTCCAGCTCAAATATGTGATTTTTAATTAATATCACAGTTTATAAATATAATATTTTATCAAATATTGTTTTTGAACTACAATAAAAATTTAATCAATATTGTAAATGAGAATCACAATATCAATTAATAACAAATTTCTCTCCATTTAAATCTAACAAAAAAATATTTTTTATGAGATTTATTATTTAGTTTACATGAAACATGTACGGTTGAGCATGCTTATATAATCTCATTTGTTTATATATATGGTAATAAATCGTAGTCTCATCTTGTACAACAATTTAAGATACAAGCACATAAATATATAATATTTTAAAAATATATTAAAATTAGATATTTTTACAATGTTATAAAAATAATTCTATAATCAATGTTTATCCTGCAATACAAGACAAAAATGTCATAGTTATGAATTATGATTCATGCTCTTCATGATCGTCATGCCTTTCATGGATGTCATTGTTATTTTGTATAGAAAAATTATCATTGTAATATGAACACACAACATGAGTAGATATTTATAAACTATGCATGAATTTTCATTTAGGTAAGTCTATTTCAACTTGAAATTCATTCTAATTTGTCTAGAAATAGATGAAATGATATGTCATATAGTGATTTATAATTCTAAATCGTGTAATGATCATTAACAAATTATATATGATTTAAGTAATTATTAACACAATATACAAGAACATGTGAATATGGACATTATAATGTATGTTCTATCATTTAATTTGATTATCTTTCTGAATTCTCTTACAACACCCGTTTTAATAGGGATGTTGACCAGTAATACTTTTTGCTTGGAATCAACATAATATTACAGTATAATCTCTTGATATATTCCTGTTTATTATCAATTTGATCTGAATAGATGAGAAACAAATTATTCTATGTTGAATAAAATCATTAGTTTCATGTGTCCACTTGACCAAATAACTATTATATTTGTAAAACATAATTAAATAATTCAGAAAAATTAGTTATTATATACCACAAATGAATTTTACACATTGAAGGTTTATAATATATCTTCGTTAAATTTTTTTCAATAGCTTTGAGGGACTGATAAAAGTGTGACATAAACATAAATTCTGGTTAACTGCTCATCAATATTTGTTTTTTTTTTTAAATGCTAATTTAAAACAAAAACTTCAAAACTTCTCGTAGCTGGCTTACGAGTACTATCAGCAATTCTGATAGCCTACAGCACCTATGGCAGGATTCTGAACTAATGTCATAATGGGATTCTGAAGCTAAAACAACACAAGTCTGTATTTGCATCGGTCATATTTGGATTCAGGGGTGAAATAACACAAGTCCATATGCATCAGCATTGAGATCTTTAAATTCTGGGTAGACAAGTTTCAATCTCTCCACCGATGCCCGCAGTTTGGGTTGCAGCAGACATAAAACATTGTCATGCCCTCATCTCTCGAGGTTGCCTGTATATTAACACAAACACAATATTACAAGAAATACTGCGTTGTCTTAGTAAAAAAAATCATTAACATTAAAAAAATAACACCCCAAAGGAATTGATATTCTACCACTTTTCTCTACAGTCCTTGAAATAGATTTCCTCAATATCTTATAATCCCTATTCCTCACCCTCCTGCACTGCCGTGCCAACAGGCCAAGGGAAGAGAAAATCTGGGCTAATATAAACTATGTGGAATACCCTAATCAACTATTGCAAGAACCCTTGGCGTTTCTGAAAACTAAAGGCAAAGTCTTGGTGTCACTTATAGTACTCCTATACCGAAGAACAATAATTAAGATAGGGAGCTGACCTGTAAGAATACAGCTTCCCCATAGCCGCATACAGCACAACAAACAGATTTAGTCCGAGGCAGAGCAGGGTCTGAAGCCACATCCTGCAACACTTGTGTGTATTCTGCAGCATAGTGATATATCTCATTTCTGTAGACACGATTATTACCAGCAACCTCCTGCAACGTTTTAGAAAAGTTATTAGATAGGCATACCCTACAACTTAATTTTGCTTTGGTTAAAAGCTAGAAGCATGCCGGAGTCAGTCAAACATGTAGTATAACCATTAACCTGTGACTCAAGGATTGGAACTGTCTTAAAATTTTCAACTTTTAGTTCACGCCTCAACAATTATTCATATTTAGAAATTATCTCTTAGAAGTTGAAGGAGGAAAATCAATATATTACCATATTTCCCATCTATCATTGCTATATCACTTAACACTGCAAAGTGGATCAATCATCAGATGCCACCCAGCTAGATGATCAGAGAACATGGTCACACAAGAAAGATAAAGAGTTTCAAATAACGCACTTAAATAAAGGTTAGGAAAATCTTCCAGCTTGTTCCATCACCCATTCGATGAGCAGTATTGATGGCGCCTTCTCTAAATTGTACTGTCTTCTCCGCATATCCATCGGGGAATCTAGATGGAGATCAAGTCTCACTTGTCTGGATTTGGATGCTACTTTCCTAAGCTTACAATTTTGTCTTCCAATGTTTTTCATGTATGTTTCATTCCTCCAGAGTTCCTAATATCTCCCTACTTCTATGTTTGTTTGATTCATCCCATCAACACATCTTAATCCTTACAAAAATGATTGAACAAGGAATCAATTTGATGCTTTCAAGGAAAAAAATGTAACGTGGCTGGTTTTCTTACGAATAGTAATCATTTCTATCGAAGTTACTTGTATCAGTGAAGAAGAGAGGGAGGGACCTGGTGATCACAGTTGCGGCATGCATAGAGGAGAATCTTCTGCTTCTTGTCTTCCTTGGGATAGAGAATGTTGTTGCTGAAATTTACAAAATCCACAAACAACCTTATTTAACAAAAACAGAGTCCTGAACGAGAACATGCTTATGCACAGATACGATGGCGATCAATACTGGCCATCAACAGCAAAGTTGCAATATCTACCCTTGTGGGAGCTTTCAGAGAGATACTCTCTTTGGGGGTATTTTGCAGTAAACTTAATTAAGATTTAAAATCAGGCGTTGGCAGATATTTAATCCTAGATGAGATATACTAGAATCATATTAGATCCCGTCGAATTGAGAAATTTACGCTGAATCGACTTTTAAGAATGAGGGCTCCCCCACTTACAACCAGCATGAGTAAATGCTCACAGACCTAATGGAAAGTTTGGAAAGTTGCGCACTATTGAATAGCTAACATGGTGAAGAAGTGGAGAAATTGAAGTTAAATAAAGTCCTGATATTCGTTGTTAATCACAATTTATCTACTCCTGGATAAGTTAGGACTAGGTTTGCTCTGAATGAATAGCAAGAAAGGAGAGGCTAGCCATTGAGGGCAGAACTTGTATACATCCATTCTAAAAGATGCTTCTTTTCAACCTCTTCCTGCAAACATAAAAGCCGTTTCACAACACCATATAACTGACCTTATTTCGACTTTGTTCATTCTGTTCCTTCTGTTTTATCTACTAATAATGCTGCCAGAAAAGGGGAGAAATATCCAGAGGCTATGGAAAAGTGACGGACTAGCCCAACTTCTTTTAATACTGTTTATATTACGATAAGAAACAACTGGAAAGTCAAAATTCAGACAATATCCGGTGACACGGTAGACGCTTCTTCCATGTTCTAAAGAGGACACGCTAGCGCTGCTTTAGGAACTGTGCGGATACAAGGATGCGGGGTCTTTACAAGGGCTTTCAATCCTTGAACCAAATTGGGTCCTATATATGTTCAGCACTTCAGCCCAGCTAGGCTAGAACTTGGATGCTCGTCTCTTTACTAGCAAAGCAAACTGCCTGCTTGTTCTCTAGATTAACTCAAAACTGTTCCAACATGATTTCCTGAACGCGTATGATTTAATTGGATTTCGACCGAGTTTAATTCGTTTCTTTGCGAGAACTACATCTTCAATTACAAGAAACAATCAAGCATAAGAGCCTTCAATGGCTATTCCATTTTGTTCTTAAAACTCTCGGCAGAATTGCCGGTCTATTCCCTGCCAAAGTTTTGCAGGACACAGACATAGCGCACCACTACTTGAGAAAGGCAATGTAAGCTATGCAGTTAAATGAACATAACCATAGTTCAGCAGTGCAATAAAATAGACAGTTTAAAACCTAGCAACACAACAGATTCATGCAAAAAGGAAAAAAAAAAAAAACTTCCCAGACATTAGAAATGGTAGAACCACCGAGTAGTTATGGCAAGAACTTATACATGGCTTCAGGTCTGAGTAGCAGGTCAAATTTGAGTACTGCTAAACCACAAGAATGGACAACCAGTTGAGATGATTCGAAAAAGGAAGTAAGAGCATACACAATTTAGTTCACCACTGACAACAGTTTAACAACAAAAACCACTAGTGAGCGAAAACGACCAGCAAAAGTGCATTCCACAAACAACCATTTGTAACGAGAGCGGATGGCATGCCATAATTCACAGATCATATTCCTGACTACCTTACAAAACCAAGTCTAGGAACAACCGAAACTGTTACAAGTTTAAAATATTTAAGGAACAACAACTTAGAATTATTACATAACAAAGAAAAAGAAAGGAAAACAAGGACATGAAAGAAAACACACCAACTAACTTATTTCACTTAATCTGTCAAATTGGCCCTGGGTCCTAATGTGAGCTCCAAAGCTACCGCTGAGTACAATCTGACTGAACCTCATGTTCCTCGAGCCAAACACACCAGACAAGACACACTGCTCCTTCCTGCTTGATTGAGTCGCTTCATCTCCTCCTGCTATGCCTCCTCTTCCTCCTGCTGCTCTTGTCATCAGAATCAGATTCCGAATCTGAGTCGGAATCAGAAGACTCGTCAGAGGACGAGCTATACCTCCTCCGCCTCTCCTTCCTCTGCTTCCTCTTCTTCCTCCTCCTCCTCCTCCTCTCTTCCTCCGAAGCAGATGAACTGTACCCCGAACTACTTTCCTCCTCGGAAGACTCGGACCCTGTCACGGACGACGACCCACTATCTGTCTCAAAAACTGAAGCCTCACTGTTAGTCGCAGAATCCGAATCTGACCTGTGCTTCCTCTTACTCTTCTTCTCCCTCTTTTGCCCCTGGTTATCCTCCCCCTCCGGATTCTCCAAATCGTACGAAATAGAAACCTTCATCCTCAACTTAGGATTCTTAAGCTGTTGAGTCCTTGATGGTCTAGACATATAAACCCTCTCATTCTTACACTCATAAGTCCAATGTCCAGTTTGAAAACACTTCTGACACTGCGCATTGCCACCAAAACCTTTTGACATAGAATTAAGATCTTTTCGCTCACCCAATCTCACTGCCTTTTCCGTACTCATTAAATACATTTGCCTTTTCGCTTCTCGTTTCTCTTGCCATCGGCTCGGCCCTTCTTCTTTTTGCCCATAAGCATTTACATTACGAGCAGCAGCAGTTGCCGCCCGTTCAGCTTGGGCTCTACTTAACCCTTTTGCCGCACTCAAGGCTGCGGCCTTGATCCTCTCCGCCGCAACTTGAGATTTCTCTTCTTTCTTACTCGACATGACTTATAGATCCCTACTAAAGTAATACCGAATCCTTAAAGCACCTGCGATGATAAATATAACAAAGCTAGGATTTTTTTTTTCTGTGAAACTAACCTCGAAAACCCTAATTTATGCGTTAATTACCCAGCAATCGATGACAGAAAAACGAGATCGAGAGATCACAACCAAACCCTAATCTCGAGAGAATTTAATGCCAAAAACCCTAATTTTGTGAGAGAGAGAGAGAGAGAGAGAGCTGCATACCATGAAGATCGCGTTATTATTTGTCGGAGCCTGGTTGAGATTTAACCGAGCGAGAATGAGCGTCGATGATATAAATATAGAGAGAGAAATCTACGGCGGTCAAGATTTGAACGGGCCCATCATCAGCCCAAGTAACAGGCCTGATATCGGCAGTTAGCCCATCCTATTCTTGGGCTACCTTTTGTATTTTGAGACGAGGGACAAATACGTCGTCGGGGAATGGAAAAAATTAGAAAAATTGTTCGGTCAGTCCACTCGGGCTGCATAATAAATGGTTATTATAAAAATGTATATGGCTGCAAAATCTGTTATTCTCTCCTCACATAAGAAAAGGCATCATTTCTACACCTCACACAAACTCATACCTTTACGCTTTATAGTTTAAACAATGCCTCATGCATGATGACATGCGTGGTATTTTCTTTTAATATAGATTCAAGTTGTTGTGATTTTAATTTATTTATTTATTTATTATATAATAAGTAATGATTTATTTTTTAATGATTTTAATTAATTCATTTATCATATAACAGGGAGAGTTCATCTTTATTATGTTGCCCACCATCCAAGAAATCTTTCAATGAAAAAAAAAAAACACTTTGACATGTTAAAAACACCTTTCAGCACGATTCATAAAAATTTTAATATCCAAACAAATTTATAACTGTAGTTATGTAAAAAATTATAGTCATGAAAAGAACCTACCATTGTAAGAATTAAGATACTTTGATAGTAGAAAATAATTTTTAGTCATTCGAGTTCAAATTTTCAATCAAGTTGAAAATTAAAAGAGACATGTATTTTACTATTTTTTTCTAGTTCATTTACTGTTTGTCCTTCTTTTTTTTAATTTAATTCAGTTCTTATGATGTTAAAAAAATATCTCATATTGTGTTGATGCTTGATTTTGCAAAAAATAATTGAAATTTCCTCTCTTACAAAAGACTAAAAAAAAAGGGACTAGAATTGAAATTGAGAAAAAAAAATATAGTCCTATTATATGACAAAGAAGAAATAAAATGTGTAAACCAAGGAGATTGAAGAAAAGAAAAAATACTTGGAAAAGAAGAAAAATTGGTTGCTAAAGCCATGCCTCCTTGAAAGGAAAGCTTTGTCGTGATAATTTCAATGACACCATAAAAGATTGCCATTAAAGGTTGGAAGAAGTTACACGTAACTCCCTGGTGTTTGCGACTCCTCTTGCCTGTGCTAGGTATTTTTTTGCCTTTTTTGGTTAATTTAGTTCTTTATTATCTTATAACTCTTCAATTTAATCCTAAGTTTCATTCCAACCAAGGCTAAAGTCTTTTTTTTCCCTTCAATATAGTCAATGATTCTCCAATAACTCTTGAAATTCATCCATTTCAAACCCAATGAAGCCTCGTCTAAAAAGAAAAGGAAAGGAAGGAAAAAGAAAAGCAATAGAGAATTGATTTAGTTCATTGTGATCATGTTTATAATTTGGATTGTAAATTTGATGAGTTAATCAAGAATCAATTAATATGCTATTGTCTTAAAAAGAGAGAGAGAGAGAGATGTTATCTTGTTTTTGAAAAGCAAACCATATTTTTACAATTCATTTGAGTTGTTTTTTTGACTTGACAAAATAATAGGGTTGCATTGTGACAACTTCCACACGGTTAATTTAAGACTCAGGCTTGATAAGGGATCAATTAGAAAGGTTTCAAAGTTACTTATTAGATCGGGTTTAATGATAAATTTGTTTATTTTTTATTAAAAAGAAGGTTGCTTAAAAATAAAAATAAAAAAGTCAGATAACATTGTCTTATAATTTCTAGTTCATTTATTGTTTGTCCTTTTTTTATTTTTTTCTATTTAATTCAGTTCTTACACGATGCATTTAAATGAGATTAGGCTTTATAATTTGATTTGATTAATTTGGTATGAGGCTCTCATGATGTTGAAAAAATATCTCATATTGTGTTGATGCTTGATTTTGCAAAAAATAATTGAAATTTCCTCTCTTACAAAAGACTAAAAAAAAAGGGACTAGAATTGAAATTGAGAAAAAAAAATATAGTCCTATTATATGACAAAGAAGAAATAAATTGTGTAAACTAAGGGGATTGAAGAAAAAAAAACTCGGAAAAGAAGAATAACGGGTTGCTAAAGCCATGCCTCCTTGAAAGGAAGGCTTCGTTGTGATAATTTCAATGACACCATAAAAGGTTGTCATTGAAGGTCGAAAGAAGTTACATGCACCTCCCTGGTGTTTACGACTCCTCTCGCACATGTTAGGCATTTTTTTGCCTTTTTTGTTTGATTTAGTTTTTTATTATTTTATAACTCTTCAATTTAATCCTAAGTTTCATTCCCACCGAGGCCAAAGCTTCTTTTTTTTCCCTTCAATATAGTCAATGATTCTCTAATAACTCTTGAATTTCATCCATTTCAAATCCAATGAAGCCTTGTCTAAAGAGAAAAGGAAGGGAAAAGAAAAGAAAAGAAACAAAGAATTGATTTAATTCATTGTGATCATGTTTATAATTTGGAATGTGAATTTAATGGGTTAGTCAAGGATCAATTAATATGCTATTGTCTTAAAAAAAAAAAAGATAGAGATGTTATCTTGTTTTTGAAAGATAAACCATATTTTTACAATTTATTTGAGTTGTTTTTTTGATTTGTTAAAATAACAGGGTTGCATTGTGACAACTTCCACGTGGTTAATTTGAGACTCATGCTTGATAAGGGATCAATTGGAAAGGTTTCAAGGTTGCTTATTAGATCAGGTTTAATGACAAACTTGTTTATTTTTTATTTAAAGAAAGGTTGCTTAAAAATTAAAAAAAAAAAAGTCAGATAACATTGTCTTATAATTTTTTTTTTCTAGTAAGAGCGAACAACAAAAATAGCTTTGGTCAAAATATCTCACTTTTTTATTTCAGTTTTAGAAAAATTTAAGTTTAAGGTCCAATTTAAACAACTTGTCAAACTTCATGACTATTACTGTAGAAGCCTAATAGAAAACTATAGTACAGACCCCACTTGAAGCGTAAAAGCCTATTTATAGATCTTTCAACCCCTCTATCTCATATGTTGTATTTTGATGCGTGACACGTGGACAATTTATTTTCTTATTTCAAATGTTACCATTTCGTTGCGGATTTTTTTGTATTAATTTTGCATTAGATTAATTTGTGTGTATTTTAATTAATTTTATAAATTTGAAAACTAATAATTATATAAATTTTTAATAATTTTAAGATTTATAAGATTTGAATTAATAATTTTTATGGAATAAATCTAAGATCTGAAGAATTAAAATGAGATTGTTATTGTTGTTATTTGAACCTGACGTGACAATGATTCCAGAAAGCAACTACGTTGTTTTTCTGACAGAGGCTAGAAGTAGCGGGAGATGAGAGGAGATGGCGGGTAAAGGCTTCGACAGTAGCATGCCCGACAACATACTTTAAATGTTTTTGTTTCATTGTTGATTGGAGTCCCTCCTTTTATTTCTCTTCTTCCCTTCTTTGTTCCTTGTTAGCACACAGGCACGACAAACAGATCCATATTGCTGGCACAAATCCATCTATTTTTATGTTTCATTGAAGAAAAAATTGTGTGAAATGATTTTGAACAAGAGACTCTTTAGCCTCTTCAAAACTCCAAGGTTAGTCATTTCTCTCAAAACTTGATCGTGTTCAAGGTTATTATATATGATCATACAAGGAGGGTTTTTAGAGCTTCGAATTGGTTTTGAGGAAACATGTATAAATAAGAATGTATTTACTAAAATTAAATTAAAAAGATATTCAAACAATAATAATTCAAATTAAATTAACTAAAAAAACAAAAAGAAAAGTGTAAAGTTCAAGACTTAATAACCTAATGTCAAATGAAAATAAAAAATAAAACTTTAAAAAATACAATGCCAAAGAAAAAAACATGAGTTAGCTCAGGGTAATTTGATGAACCAACAACCCTAGAAAAAAAAACACAAAAGGATGACCTAGGTGAAAAAAAAAAAGTTCAATAAAAAAACATCAAGTAAAATCTTGATTCAATTCGAGTTAACTTTACCAACCTGCTTTCAAAATAATCAAACAGTAAGAAAAGTGAAAAAATGACAAAACTCAAATGCAAATAATTAAATGTAAAATAATTAAATTATAAAAAATTATAAAAATTCAAGAAAAAAATTTGAGTCAACTCGGGTTAACTCGATTAACCCCCATATGTGACATGAAATTAGAATAAAAAAAAATAGATTTTTAAAAGAGAGACCTAACAAAAAAAACCCCAGTTAAATTAAAAAAAATATTGTAAACGAAAATGAAAGATGACATAGATTAACTTAACTAGCCCACTGTTAAAATAATAAAACAAAAGGAATAGAAGCGAAAAAATGATAAAACTTATGAGCAAATAATTTAATGTAAACTAATAAAATTAAAAAACAAATTAAAGTCATAAAAAATTAAAGAGAAAAAAATAAATAAACTCAAGTTAATTTGACTGATCCACCACTCATGACATAAGATTAGGATAAAATTATTAGACTTCCAGAAAAAGAACATAACTAAAAAAACTAAAGTTAAATAAAAAACATTAAGTAAGAAAATGTAAGTTAACTAAGGTTAAATATTAGACTTCCAGAAAAAGAACTAAAGTTAAATAAAAAACATTGAGTAAGAAAATGTAAGTTAACTAAGGTTAACTTGATTAACCTATATTTGAGATAACTGAATAAAACAAATAAAAAAAATCATATAATTTAAGAGCCAATAATTTAATATGAAAAAATGAAATTATCAAAAAAAAAATAATTTTATAAAAAAATAAAAAAAGATCTAAAACAACCATAGTTAACTTGTCTAATCTATTATATAAAATATAAGATTGTGATAACTCAACAAAAAAAAAAAATCCAATAAAATTAGAGGTCTAGTAACCAAAATGTCAAATGATAATTTAAAAAAACAATCAATTTTCAATAAAGATGCCTTATTGGAAGGTAATTATAAAAAAATAAAAAAGTAAAATATATAACCATAAAAACAATTTAAAATCCTAAACCAAACATGGTATAAAAAAATAAAAGAAAATAATTGAAGATTAAATTGGAAAATAAAAGAACTAAGAAAATAATTTTTTTTTTGAGAAAGTGATAACCAAAATTGAATGAAAACTAAATAAAATTAATTGTTGAGGTATAAAATAAAAAAATAAGAATATAGAAATTAAAAGAACATGATAAAAAATAAATGCAATAAATAAAGCAATTAAAAATAGAAAGATCAAATTAAATAAAGAAATTAAACTGAATAAATTATTTAAGAATAAATTTTTTTAAAAAAATAAAAAGCATCATAAGCCAGATAAAGTTAATAAACAGTAATTAAACCGAACTTTAATATTTGCATTTTTCCAAATAACATTAATTTGTTTTTTGTGTTTAGAACCAAAGTAAGATGCCCAACTGCTTGCCTATTTCAGTGCCAGGCATTTGACCCCGATTAAAACACGAGATGAACTCGATAGATAAAGTTACATGCATAGATTATTATTTTTTTTTTAATTTCTGGCTAAAATAGATTTTAAACTAATTAATAAAAAAAATATAACTTCCAATTTACAATTGAGTCAAAAGTTTTTTAAACTGGCTATATCGAAAAAGATGTTTTAAATTATTTTTACCAACTATATCTTATCTTAAATTTATTTTTCCTCGGACACTAAACACTGTTACTAAATTAGAAAATCTAAAAAAAACGGGGAAAAGGAAAAAACATCCGTTCAGTACTGCCCACCCCAAAATGAAGGAATCCATAAAAGGGCAGGCCAAAACCTCCATTAAAGGATCACAGATTATGATAAAACATCCAGTTCAAAAAGATATCCTAGTAAGAACATTCTTAAGACACCAGCAACAAGTCAAGTAGTGTGCTAAATTGGAAAATGGCAGCCAGGGTTTGATATGAGACGCCACCAGTCTCTCACAATTTCCTTCTCAGAATATCCCTGAAAGAAGATTTGCAGCAGTGGAGATCGCAGCTCCAGTGATGGCACATTGCACAATCTGCTCATGGGATCTGTCGTCTGCTGTCAGTGCCAGTGCCACACCTGTTATTGCTCCAGCCACTGCACTGTTTTTCTGCACCAAATTTCGAGGGAAGTGCTTAGTATTGATTAACAATTGAAAAGGGCAGAAACCTGCCTGATGCAAAAGACCTGACACGACAGCATGTGGGGTGGCAAGCACCGGCAGGTAAACGGCAGCTTTTCATTATATTGCTCAAGAGAAAAGCCTCGGTGGTGAAGTCGGGCCATCACGGTACTGATACTTATCTCGATCAGTATTTGTGGGCCAAATTAAAATTAGTCTTGCACTTCTAATCGAGAACCATGATGCTATTTCCCATCAGAAAAGGGGAAAAAAAAATGAAGCAACGATAACAGAACACACTGCTCATGATGCTTTACAATCTTTGGTGTAAATACTAAATAGTTGGTGCAGCAGCATGTGCCCAGAAAATTGTTTGTCATACGTCAAAAGACAGTAGATAAATTTATTTGTGCCCCCTAAAGACCTTACCCAATCATGAACTCCACGAGACTCCCTGAGTCCATAAGTGAGGCCGGAATACACTCCTGCTGCGAGTCCTGAAACATTGAGAAAACAGATCTTGTGAAGGCATTTTTAATGTACAATTTTTCCTTTTAACACCCGCGTGTAGTAGAAAATCCTCACTCGCTACTATGCGCAAATGCCCCCATGAACCACATTGCAAAATATATATGATTATACTAAAGACCTAGTTAGCTCTAAAGAATCATATAACAAGATATTTTCCACCCCATTGTATGAACAAAACTAAACGAAATGATTCATTTATTAAATGTATTCTCACCCCATTGTAAGGATTCCTTTCCAGTGTTCCTCACCTATGAAACAAAAATAACAAGGCAATGTTACTCAGAGACATAGCAGTACTCAAAATACATAGCATGGAAAAGCTGTAGATGCAACAGAAAGAAAGAGTTTATCTAAAGCATATCTATTATTCAAGGCAAACATTTGGGTGGCACTACCACAGGAGCGTGTCCCTAATCTGAAACAAGGTCTGCAATACAAGTACGACAAGTAGGATTTGAAACTCACCAAGGCTTCAAGGGATTTTCTGTTGGTTTCACCTGTGAAACACAAAGAAAACTAAATTAACACCGTAAGGCAGTGTCAGCCATAATATGTTCAAAACATGTCATAATTTGTTCCTGCATCAAAATCATAACTACCAATGCCAGTATCTAGCAAAGTAAACTTAGTGGCTACATTTAACACTTCAAGATCTGAAAGAACAGGATGTCTACCTCCGAGGTCAGGGAAACGATGGCGCTTCTTGCCATCAACAGAAATCTCCGCTGGCAAACCACCACTTGACTCCAATCCAGCACCTAAGCATAATTATTGACACGCGCATCCACATACATAGCATGAATCAAACAACAGGACGTTATTCCAACCCAAAAATAAATAAATAAATAAATAAAGCTATAATCAAAATTAAATGTTCTCATCGCCACCTTCAATGGCTGTGAAATAAGCCTCCCTAGACACCGCTTGAATTGCTCCAATCTGAATGACCAACATGGTATTGTTAATTTTAGCTAAAGTTCGGCATGCAACACGAACACCACCACTACATGCATCTACAAACACTAACTACTACCAATTCATCACCATGAACATGATTTCATTAGATAGCACTCGTGTTCGGCACCCTCATTCTTGAAAAAAACAAGAAGAAGAGAAACTAAAAATTAATCAAGTAATTAAGTTTACCCCAGCGGCCTTGACAAAACTCTCGGCAATACGGTTTAGGAGAGGGTGACCAAAGTCGAAGAAGCTACTTTTATCAAAGTGACGGATTTCATCAACAAATGACCTCGTTTCCAAGTTGTGGCTCATCTTTCCTTTCACTTGTCTACGCAGACACCAAGATTCCACAGTAAGCGATGATGATAAGGAAAACAAAAACAAACACACAAATACTGAAGAGATGCAAGCAAGCTACCGACTGCAAGTATGGGCTAACGAGGACACGTGTTTTGGAGAGCAGGTTTACGTGTCTGCTTCTAGTGACGAGAATCCTTACCTGGCGGCGATTCCTAGGATCTTAATATTATTTTGCGCCCCATGTGTCGGTAATTCCATTAAGTATTTTATTTTTAAAAAATATTTTTAAAAGTATTTTTTTAAAACTAATATTTTTTTCAATATTTTCAGATATTTTAATTAATTGAAATCAAAAAATAATTTTAAAAAATAAAAAAAATTATGCAATTTTTATTAAAATAAATATTTTAAAAAACGACCATTACAAAACTTTCCAACATCCTTATTTACAGCATGTTCTGTTGTTTTACTGGTTTTAAATAACAATAATGAAACCAAACATACCATAACCTAGTACAAAGCTAAGCATTAATTAATTATTTGTGATGTTAAAATCATATGAACACACATCCACTAATAAATAATATGGAGCCATTTGCCTTACGTTAGGAGTGATTATTTAAATGTAAAAAATATAATTATAAGATAAATCAGAAGAAAAAACGCGGTCATGAGAAAGACTTGAATTAATTATCGTCCAAGGCTGCTTCTCAAGCTCACATTTTGGTTTCCACGCCATACAGCTAGCTAGCTAGCACCATCTAGCCCCCGTTCTTCCCTTGATCAATCCCTTGTTGCCGGGGGCGATCGCCACCGCGTCCTTGAGTTTTCAGTTGTGTATCTATTGTGATCAGAACTCAGATGATTGATTATTAACAATTAACAAAGAAAACTAGGTGTCTGCGATGCCGGTTGCTGGAAGCGATTGATGGGTATATGGATGTGTTTTGTATCCTGCCAAAAACCTAAATCGCTTCGAAGGAAAATGGATTTTCACCGCAAGAGAAAGCCGATCTGATGTCTTCTACTTCACTTCTTTTGGGGTTCACTTCGGCCTTCCTCTTATATTGACCAAAATAATCTGCCCATCTCTTATGGTGTTTTATAGCTTGAAAATTCCTTATGGCATCATTTCACATGTTAATTTAGATTTCCAAGACATAAGCAAATCAATTTGGTCTCACTTCCTTGGTATGTTGTCTGTGTTTCTTTAACTTCACTTACAATGTGGCATGTCAAGTGTTTTCTCAATATATTATATATTTTTAAATAGAAATGAGCATAATGTAATCAGTTCATACTAGTTTAAGGTCATGATTTATATTTATTTTTAGAATAGCCAAATAAATGTTTAAGTTTCATATATATATATATATCAACCAAGCATTAATTGAAAATGATGTAGCTAAAAAGTAAAGCATCATATCTGAATTTAGAAGTCATGGCGGGTGAAACCAGAGAAGAAAAAACGAGAGATGGAAGTGTCTCAAACTCAAAATGAAGAAGTGATAGAGAATTATCAATAAGATGTTGGGTCTTGGGATCCCTGTCTCTCCATTCACATCTCTTGATTTTAGGATTCCCCTCAATAGTGCTTCGGTTAGTTGTTGCTGGATTTTTTTTCAATTTTTTTTTTGGGTGACAAAAGATGGAAGAGTTTATTTTCTTTCTTGTTACATATCTCCTCCCTTTTGCTTTCCTGTTGTGATTGTGCTGTGCAGGTGTTGTTGTCTCGGGTCTTTCCTCTACCAGCCATTGTTTCTTGGGTCTCTAAACTGGCAAACTCCCATTGTTTTTATTTATTGTGATGAAATCTGTAATGGAAGACTTTTCAATTTCCAAAGCAATTCTGATCAAAAGTGCAATAAAGGGATAAAAATGAAGGTTTAGTTAGTGCCTTGATCTGTGCTCCATTTGGTATCCGATAGTGATTTTTCAATTTCCAGATGCATCCTATGACTTGCCTTTGGTATCCAAAAAGAGCCATTCGGCTTCAAAGACGAGGGAAAGCCAGGTAAGTCTTCGATCGACTCCTTTGTTCTCAAATTTAAAATCATTTCTCTTTGCGTTGTACCCTTGCATGACACCCTTTCCCCCCCAGCGATTTAGCTGCCCATTTGCAACTTTTCATCGTCCAGAACAATTCACAGGCAACGTGTTTCGAGGCCTACAAAAATTGCCTTGAAAGTGATAGTCTTTGAAGAGTCAAGTGTGTAATATTCCATGATGGAGGGAGGATTCTTTTATTTGACGGGTGTTATGTTCTTGCTTGAAAACTTGTAGGGTCATGAAACTTATCTCATTCTTGGGTATTTTTATAGGGTGTGAGTGAGACTTATACGAGGATAAATGGTGATTTGGTCATTTGGAGCATCACTTGTGAGAACAATATATGTAGCTTATTATCATCTAGGTGGTGGCCAAGTGATAAAAACTTGGTACGAGGATAAATGGTGATTTGATGATTTGGAGCATCACTTGTGAGAATAATATATGTAGCTCATAACCATCTAGGTGGTGTCCAAGTGATAAAGACTTGGGACTAAGAGGTTTGCTCCCTCTGTGGTCTCAAGTTCGAATCCTTGGTTGCTCATATGATGGCCACTGGAGGCTTACATGGTCGTTAACTTCAGGGCCCATGGGATTAGTCGTGGTGCGCGCAAGCTGACCCGGACATCCATGTTAATCTAAAAAAAAATATATGTAGCTCATTCTAATTGTAAGAGTATAATCATTAATAATTTGTATATTATTATGTCTTGTATCTTCAAGAACTAGAATCATTACATAAATTACAAATGCTTATTATTGTGCAAGAGAAAGAGTACAAAGATATAATTGTATTATCATGATAACATCATTGGATATCTACATCTAATAGGAGAGTTATGGAGACCTAAGACGGTTAGAGTTGTTTTAATGGGAAAATCAACTATTCTTCCTTGTTAATCTAAAAAAAAATATATGTAGCTCATTCTAATTGTAAGAGTATAATCATTAATAATTTGTATATTATTATGTCTTGTATCTTCAAGAACTAGAATCATTACATAAATTACAAATGCTTATTACTGTGCAAGAGAAAAGGTACAAAGATATAATTGTATTACCACGATAATATCATTGGATATCTACACCTAATAGGAGAGTTATGGAGAACTAAGATGGTTAGAGTTTTTTTAATGGGAAAATCAACTATTCTTCCTTGTCATTGTCATGAAGTTTTATAGCCATAAAAAAAATGATGAAAAAATATATAAAAAAATGAATTAACTTTTTATTTAATTTTTCACATGCCACAGATATTGTCATTGATAAAGTCAAGAAAAAATTTACACAAAAATCAAGTTTCCACAATTTGCAATTCTAGGCCTGGACTTGAAATATAGGTGGGTCTAGTTGTCAAGCTTAAATAATGGTGGAGGTTCGCCTAAAAAACTAGCCCTTCATGAGACGAAGAATTTTTCGGTGTTTAAATTAGTAAGTATATAAAAGAAAAATATATAGAGTAAATAGTTGTAGAAAAATATCAAGTCCAAGAACCCCTAGTGTATTTAGTGATGTAGGGTATTTATAGACTTTGTTCATGATACATCACCTCAAATATAAATAGTGATGTTATGTTTAGTTGGTGTTCATTTATTATAGTAGTTGGTATCATTGTTGAGAAATTTGTGAATGTTAGTAATGGAATGGTGAGAAATTGTAATTGGTTAAGAAAAAGATTTCATAATTACATGAAAAGTGGTTGCATTTGTTTATTAGTGAAAAAAAATATGGTGCTTCACTTGCATAAAAATTTGTACTTATAAAAAATATTTCAATTAATCATAAATGGTTTTGTGTATATGAACAAAATCACATTTTGACTTTTTAAAACTTGAAAAGGTATATTGAGACAAGCTGAAGAAAAAACAAAGAGAAAAAAAAGACGCATTAAAGCCAGGTCGAGAATTTTTCATATATTAGCGTGGTTGTTTAGGTGGCCCAAGTGATATGGGTGTTGTCATTTGAGTGCTTAAACAACAACAAATTAATTTTCTTGGGATTTGAAATTTATTTTTTAAGCACCATTAGTTTTTGATATACAAGTCACAAGCACAGGGAGATATGCCTTCAACTTTATGAGGTTCTTATTACATTATCGTGGTATTATTTTGTGGTTTAATATGTTTTTCAAACTATTTTTTTTAATATTAAATTAATATTTTTTAAGTGTTTTTTAATGATTTTAATGTACTAATATTAAAAATAAAAAAAAATATTTAAAAAATATTATATTAATATATTTTTAATTAAAAAAATCATGCCCTGCATTAAACAACACAAACTTAAATATAATAACTATAGTTATTAGGAAGGACACCAGATCGATCGGGTTTAGTCGCATTAGTTGATGGGGGTGATAAAAAAGAGTGTTCTGGTGGCTTATCTAGTGGTCCAGGCTTTCCGATGACTATAATATAGTGTTTTCGAGTTGTATCTTTGTAGAATTTTCTTATATCAAGTGTTTGATATTATAATAGTAATTGTTTTTTAAAATATTTTTTATTTGAAAATATATTAAAATAATATTTTTTATTTTTAGAAATTCAATTTGATATCATCACAAAACAATTAAAAAAACACAAAAATATTGTTTTAAAAAAATACAGCCTGTCCACCGCAAGAAAGAGGTTAAATTGTGTCACCATGACAGGCCTTCCAATTTTCACCAACCTCATCTTAACACCCGGACTTTTGGCGTTGAGGATTTTTCTATCAACACCAGGCACTTGCTAACATCATTGTATCCGCATCTTGCTCCGTCAACTTTTCACGAGGATTGTAGAAACATGAAGTCAAAAACACTTACTGTAACCATTTCATATACAGGCAAATTGGCCCATTTTGATTAATGCATGAACATAGATGGGAGAACATTTTGGTTCCCGGAGGTCAATAAAAAAGATTTCAGCTACAACTGGGAAAATCTGGCCATTGACCAGCTCGCTAAAAGCTTCCTCTATTACAACCACAACCACCACCACAAAACTGTAACAAGGGGACCTATTATGCAGGGCAAGTATTGATGCCCTTTCTATCATATTGTTTACACTGGCTAAATAAGAGCAGTTTAAAAAAAAAAAAAGATTTTTTAAGTTGAGAAAGAAAATAAAATTAAAGACAGATAACTGAAAGGGGGGAAAATAGTCCATTGGATGGTTCTTTTTACAAAAGCCATGATTTCTCCGTTAAAATCAGAGAGGCTGGTAAGGGGCATTTCGGCCCCTCTCCCATGAGTATATTTCCTCATGACCCTGGGTGGCACTATACAGTATCCTCTCCTACCATAATTGAACCATGAACGTCAATCACCCACCTTTCGGCTCAGCTCCTCCAAAGAATGCCATTCCTTCAGCAATACTAGCCTGATTTGCGACATCGACGAGTTAAATAAAACAGGGAACCAAACATGTCAACCTGCTAACCACAATCCTGGTTGATAACTTAGGATCCGTTTACAGTCATTTCTGGTGAGGATTTAGGTGGTGGTATGAAAGGACCATCGTCTCCGATCATCTGTCCATTTTCTGATGTGCTGTGTAAGCAATCAGAACAGCTTTTAGGACCAGCAGGATCCTTCTCTTTGTGATTTTCCTCACCTGAAGAACTTTTGTTATCGGAACAGGTTCTCAAAATGACAGGATCGTTCTCTTGGTGACTTTCTTCAGTTGAGCCTTTGTTTCCATCCACAGGAGTTGCATGCACGGCAGTTGCAGTTTTTGTGCTGGGCAAGACAGCATGGCTAAGTGTAGAACATAAAGCAGCAAAGACACTCTCTCTTGACTTCGAGTGTTTACCTAATTGCTGTTTCTTTACTAGTTCAGGTTCCTTATCCTTGGAAGGCAATTTCCGCTTCATCCCCAGGGATTCAATAGTTCCTTCATCTTCCTCTGGCGTTTCTAGCTGTTTCTTAGGAGGCGGTCTATAGTCTTCATCATCCTCGTCATCATCATAATCAACAAGCCCACTAGAACGTGGACTACAAAATCAAAAGGAAGACATCAGGAACATATCAAATATTTACAAATGGTTTCCCAGATGTTTTAGCAAGTGGCGATTACAATACCATAATGATGGGTACCCTGCAGCAACTCCATTGGATGAAACTGGTTGAGCTTGTGGTTTTTGGGTATGGGATGCAGAAGCTGTGTCTTCTTCATCGCTGCTTAGATATTCAAATTCAGTAGTTATGGGAGGGAAGTTCTTATCAAAAAGTCTGGGCATACAGGTTCACAAATAGCAAAACATACCTGTCCTCATTGAAATAGTCTTCCTCTTCTTTTTCTAGAGCACGTTCATCATTTCGTTTTCTCGGGTCCAATATGTTACCAGTAATTTTTGCTCCACACTGCTCCAGACACTGCAATTATACTTGTTAGAAACAAGAAACCACAAAGACAATAATAAACAAGAGAAAAATGGGCAAAAGTGAATATACCTGCTCATATTTAACTTTTAGAGACTGAATGGAGCTCAAATGCTCAAATTTGACCAACTCATTCCAGAATGAATCAACTATATACTTGAGCAACGACTTCAGGTTTTCCTGCATGGAACATATTATACTGCAATGCATACTTCTGAACCCATCGAAGATGGAAGGAAAAAAGAGGCAATAATAGAGTAGGCACCTTGCGGATATACTCAAAAAGCTCTAAAATGGTAGAGTTCAGCAGATTATAACGGTCTCCATTGCTCACAAAGGCATCTACAATTGGTTTAAGGAGGTTGTTCTTGACAAAATGATTTATCAAATGCTCATCCTGTAAGTGAAATATAAATTAGGAATATCCAGACACCTATACAAACATAGTTGTCAATAAGAATGCTACAAAAGGGAGATAATGCCAGCATCCACTATATCAGCTACTATATCCATAATTCAAATATTTTAGTGGATTAATATGCCACACATACCGGTTATTTTCTTTTATATCCAACCATGCATGGTTTCATTAAAAAAAGTACTAGTTTCTTCTATATTTATTCTATACTCAATAATTACAAAAATATTTAATCTATCACATTCATCCATGGAAAATGGAAAGTACTGTACAATATACATATCCTCAGATAAAATAACAGTTATAGTACACATTTTGCACTACAGAGATGTTTTCTGTAATCATGATACTGCCTATCCCTCATCTTCACAAGATTACATCACCAAGAAAAGCACAATCTACACTCCAGGGAATAAAAGAAACGAATTTTGTAAATGCAGTACTGCATGGAGAAATATTTTACAGTATTTGGAGGCATTATTTAGAAGAACAGTCAGTTGCCTGATAGATCTGTTAGGGAGTTAATTTCATCAAGGTGACTTACATGGCGGGAAAGGATAGTGCGAACAAAACGAACAGCAGCAACTACAAGGTATTTTTCCTTCCTTCGTGTCAATGTCAAGACTTTTTCAATTACATTATCAAGGAGAAAGTTGCACCTGAAAACAGAAGAAAAACAATCATTTATTACAAAATTGAGAGTATGAAATTGAGTCCTTTCACTTGAAAGTTAGTATAAAAAATTTACTTTATTCTATATGGATGGTGCAGAACGCAGAAGCATAGCAGTTCACATATGTTTGAGAGTATTTCTGGCTTTGTTCCATTCCGAGTGTCAACTCCCTCACCAAATCCTGAAGATTTACAACTCGATGGAGGAACAACTTCATTTGGACAAGATGCTGTTATAACATCAATTAATTGGCCCAAGTGCTTCTCATAGAAGATTTCAATTATATTATCTCTCTGCAGCGAAGAGATACAAAATCATTTTAATTCAGTCATTATCAACATAAATTCACATTAAAACAATATTCAAAGTGTGCATTTAAGGAAGATGTTCAGTATGCATCCAAGCTACTACAACGTTATCCAACAAGTCACCAATTTTTTTGTAACTAATTATATTACAAAACATTGCACCTGCATGTATAAACACAGGCACAATGCACACACCCCAACTGCAAGTTATAAAATAGCAAAATAATTGCACAAGTACCAGCCAACAATGTGCAATCTAGAACCAATAATAAATATACCCAGGAGATGACATAACCAAATATTGAATTAGGTAATAAATATTCAACGCATAGGAGCCAAGGATTTTTTTTCAAGATAAAAATGAATCATTCTCAATGATGATACCAAACATTGGAGTAAAAACAGAAATGAAACAACAACTAATATAATAAAAGAGCCCTCCAGCCATTTTGACATTGGAAAAAGAAACCCTGGAAAGGAACCAGAGAAAAACATCATATCACTGCCAAGAAGACCAGTCTATCCCCCAACATCTGTTTGGATGGAGGTGTCTTCAAAAAAATTCCACCCCTTCCAAAAGTTATACTAAAATCACTTTGATCCGTTAACTTATTAAAGCTTTCCTTTTGAATGAAAAAGGAATATAAGTAAAAAATGGACTAGAGAAATCAAACAGGCTATTTACTTTAACGATATTAAGATTTGGGATAGGCTGACTGCAAGATTACAAATAAAATTCAGGCTCATAGCAAGGCAGGGGGGAGAGAAAGCCAAGCCATCTTTCAGTGTGTAAATTTAAAGTTGAGTTGCAGGCTAAAAACAGAAAACAAGCAGAATAGCAACCAAACAAATTTTCACTACTGGTATATGAACTCCATTTGCCACTCAGCAAACTTAACGACCAAACATAATAGCTGAATGAATTATCAAGACTAGTAGTACCTGTGCTCCTGACAGTGTATAGGAATCCAATAAACTGCGAAGAATTTCAAGAAACTGGCAATGCATGTCCTCTCCAAAGTCTGTTATCATTCCTTTAACCTGTAAGTAAAATAAATTTAGTTCCTTTAACAGATAGGACACGTGCACTTACACATGAAAAGGTATAAGAAAATTCAAAGCACGTGATGCAATACAACATAGAAGTAATAAGCTAACAGTCATGGGAAAATGCAATATACTATAAATAAAATCAGATGCCAGCATAAGTGGCAAAGACAGAGTTATAGAAAACAAACAAATCCCAAAGCATAAAATCACCAAATCACTACATTTGTAGTTCATAGAAACGCTAGGAAAATTCGATTCCAAGGGTGTGGTAGAGCATTTCCTAGTTGGAGTTGATGTGAACTCTTCAAAAACCATAACAATGGAAATGACCTTGACAAAAATTATTTCATATATAGATTATTGAGGCATGGTATACAACTGGTTGGCCATTCAAGTGTCCATAAATTGCTGGACAACATCACCTGAATATGAAATCAACAATTTTGGAGGTGGAGAGGATAATAGATTCTCTTAAATTAAAAGGCATGCAAACAAGGTTTGTGTTGATTTTCTTTCATGCTGCAAATCAGCTTTGTAAATTTAGTTTTTAACATCACATTATAAGAACGCATCCCAAAGTTATAAAAAATGTATAAAAATGTTTATTGAATTGGGTTCTTTAAGCAATGCAATTACAAGATAACTGTTTTTTGTTCATAAAAGCCATACAAATAAGAGTTTTGTCACTTCTCAGGACAGTGATACATCTTATCTAATGGTTTGAGACATCATTTTATGTATTACTTTGCATGTTAAAGAATATCATAGGATTGAGGAATTGTAAACAGGTCACAGAATACATACCAACAACCCTAGTAGCTGAATTCCTTCCTGCCGAACAACATAAGAACGCAGAAGGTTTGGATCCTGATTCAAGAAAAGAATGAGGATATCTGTCCTGCATCCATAAGAATGATTTGCTGTTAGGGGTAGCTAGGACACCATTAAAATTCAAAACAAATATAAGAAACAAAAAAACAGCCAAAAAAATTTAAAAACAAAAATGAACAGCAACCATTACCCAGTTAAGACAATTTTCTTATCTTGATTCTGCAAAGTATCAGCAATGATGTCAAAGATACCTTCATTCATGAGATCCCTATAAGAAATAAGGATTTGATTGTTTTAACATATAAATCTAAAAGAAAGCAAAACAAGCAAGAAATTACTTGGCACTGATATAGCCACAAAAGACAAAATCCTACTCTTGATGCATACAGCTTCAGTCATCTCATACCTAAATAGCCGGAGCTGCTGGACCATCTGCAGGCTCTTGCTTAAACTACAAAACTCGTGCAAGAAATATACCTGTACACATGGAAAGAGGAAAAATATCAATCTGTAGGATATCATGAGATCACACAAAGCTGTATTCATACATAACAGGTAACAGAAAACAGCAACACACTAACCTACCCAGACATTCCAAAAGTTTAACAAATTGGACATCAGCATTGCTGTTCAGTTATGACAATAAATGGCATTAAAGGATGATTCACCAGGTATTTCACAGTAAGAACTCTTTTTCTATGCTGATATATTAATGTAGTGTTGCCCTTAAACTAATTACCATGGAAACGAACATGAATGCCGAACCATAAAAGATATAGAAGAACTTAGAATGTTCCACAAAAACAAATCTATGACTCTAATCCAAGACAAAATTATTTCATAAGAAACAGAATCCCAACAACGAGACAAAGTGTCATCTTCTCACAGATATTTTTCATCAAGAGAAGGAGATAGCATCTAAAACCCAGCCCTTGCACACTAAACCATATTATTAGGGAAGTCTCCAATACCAAAAGCCATAATGCACAAGAACATCTGAAATAATAATATCAACAAGGACTTTTGAGCTCATCTTAGTATTAAATTCAATGTGCTTGAATAGTTCATACACAATATGGTACAGGGAAGTCACTGTCTATATACCTAGAGCACCATCTAACCCACTAAAAAATAAGCGATCTTCAGCAAATTTGAAGTCATTTGAAAAACGTCTTAAGAAAAAAAGTGATTTTTGAGAAAGTGAGGGTGCACAGCACAGAAGAAAAATTTCACAAGATGAAATAAATAATTACTTATCGATGTTTATACCATCTTCAAGGTTGCACTTTATCTATCAACTGACAGATCAAACATGGAAAGTATTTAGATGTTAACGATTACCAGATTTTTCTTTGATTCAGCAGACGTGGAAGGCGATCTCAACCTTGCAAACAATTCCTGAATAAAGGTACTGTCATCCTTTAACAAAGAAACAACCTATACGAGAACACCACAGTTAGAGTTGAACTTGTATGGAACTTATAATTTAAAGAAAAATGAGTTTTTTAATCTTACGACAGCATTATTTCCATGAATTATGGAATTCAGATTTGCAACTGTGCCCTCATCCAATACTCTGGCCAGAACAACATCCTAAAAGAGATGATAGGATGTAAGAACTCCTATGCCAAACAGCAAACTGACTCGTCCCAAACTTCAACATTTAAGAAACAAACCTTCAGATAACCAACTCTGTACGTCTGATGTATCTTTGACAGGACATGAGGATCTCTGATTGGTATGGCCTTAAACAATAGAGTAAGTGTCAGCAATGCACAATGACTTTTTCACTAGACATCTTCACCCCCCCCAAAATCCCCTACAATATCAGTAATATGTTACCTCCTTGAAAACGACGTGCTCTTTCAAAAAATTTCGATGATGTTGGATATGAGAAATCTCAGGATCATCTAAAAACAAAATTCAAGATAAGTTAATTATGAAGATCTATTTTGCAAAGTATCAACCAATTATAACTCTTCGAATAGTACATTACCAAAAATCTCTAAAATGAAAATTTATATCCCGAGGCTTGCTATGTCCAATGTGAGTGTGGTTTGACACACAAAGTGCATTTTTTGTGGGGAAAAGGAAAGAAACATAAATGGAAATATTAAAAAAAAATTGAACCTTGACTATATGCAAAAAAACAATAATGATTTTAAACTGACCAGGCAGCTTAGAAACAAAACCAATCACAAATGCAAACAAATGGTATGTTTTACTTTGACCAAGAAAGTAATTAAAACTTATATTATCTGCCTATAGGTCTAACTTAAACATCAACCAAGACATAGTTCAAACTGCTAGCAATATTAAAATTAACTTGTGCAAAAATTTGCTTGGCAGATCCTATGGTTGTTGATGTTAGAAGGAAAAATGGAAGTTCCGTCTATATTAAGAAATGGAAAAAACACAACCATAAAAATCCTAACATAAAAAAAGAAAGAGATGAAACAATAATGCTTGAATGCCAAATGAATTAAAACTAAAATAATGAAACAGGACCCAAAATCTGTCAGACAGTTGTTGTAGCAATGACCAAAAGCGCTCACCACTATCCTGTAACCAACCATACAACCAAAAGTATGCAGAGTGTATTCTATAATATGCAGATAATAATTCAATTTTTCAAAATTAGATTCATGTGCAAAGGATTAGAACAGAATGTTAGGAACCAACAAAGAAACTGAACTTACACTCGAGTGAACCGATAACATCCATGATCAATTCATCCCCAAATATCTTCTCAAAGATTTGAGGACTGTTGAGCATAACTACGGGTGACAAAACAACATTCAATGTCAGTCAACAAGGGGCAAGCAAACACACAACAAACAAATAAATACAACACCAGGAAGGATTACTCACTGATCCCTCTGACTATTTTGAATATCATGTGAAGACCATCAATGTTTTCTAGGTCTTCACAGATTCTGAAAACATCCATCAGCTTCCGGAAAAAATCTTGCTGTGAGGAAAACAAAATTAACAGAGAATGAACAATTAATCATGTTAACTTCTCCAATAAACATTCAGATGCACCATCCTTTACAAAGATCCAATATCAGTAATTTCTGCTCGCTGTCAGCATATAGCTAGACAGATTTTGACAGCAAGATGATATGTTGTATTATTGTGAACAAGATGCAAATGCAACCACTCTCGGCAAGCATGTTTCAAGTCATATGTCCAAAATATACACAAAGCAGCTTCAGAAACTACATACAACAACATTAAACCACAGTTTTCTTCTGTTCTGATTTGATACACAAATTGGCTTTAGACTTGAGAAGGAAACAAATCCCAGCAAAAATTAATATTGCATGGATTATATAGAGCCATAAGCCTAACTTTCAGTGATTACTTGAAAGTTGTAGATGGCCCATTTCTATTTCGTTTAGGCTTTGGTGCTGAGGTTTGAAGATCTTCTAAATGAATATTGATCACATCAGCTAGTAAAAAAAATTCATAGAAAGGATGCTATAAGATAAGTAAAAGTACTATGGTATGCAGGAAATAGGAGCTGAGAAAATATATGTAATTAATGGTTAGGAGTGTTGAACCAAATTTAAATTTGATCAACAGTGTATTGTCAAGGCACACAGTAACCAAGTCAACATGACAAAAAAAAAAATGCCAGGCTTACATCGTTCAATATTAGCTCTGTCAGTCTCATCTGATCTGCGATGCCACTCTCAGACATGGTCTGCAAAGCAAATCCATTCAACTTAATTACAAGATCACCCAAGACCATGTAGGAAATAAAGAGCTCAAAGCGATCCTGGTCAACATGTTAATCTTTTTATTTCCACATCAATAACATACCAACCTAGAATCTACTCAAATCCTGTATTTAGGAGCAAGGAACTAAAAATACAAAAAATCTAAAGAATAGCATAAACACCAGATGGAAATTGCAAACCAGTTTAACTATAATATAGAATGAGAGAAAAGGGACTACTGCTGATACAGTTCAATGGACTAACCAGAAAAAATTAGGAGGCTGTAATTACTTTTCCTTTTGAGACGTAACTACAACATAAAAATTAATCAAAGGAAATAAGAATAAAAAAGAAGTAAAACCTTAAGTATTAGAGGAAGTGTAGAATGTTCAACAGCAGGCAACTCTCTCAACTCACTGTTCATGCTGTGAAATGCCTCACCTGCAAATTTTAGAAAAGAGATAAGACCACAAATGCTCCAAGCAAAAAAATAAAGAATAACATAATTCTAAACCAGGGAAAATCAAGAGAATATCTACAAGTAGTCAGAAGTCTCTGTTTGTGGGAAGACTGGAGGTGTGCTTCTTAACAATTGGTATACTAAAACAATATTGTTGACATCCTTCAATACCAATTGAAATTTTTGCTGTATGTTCTCACGCTCATTCAAAATTCTCCTTCGTTTAGACAACAATTGTGGGCAAAAATATTGTTGTGATACAAGAATACATCAAACATATAGTGGTGCCACGATGTCAAGTTATACGTTATTGCTTTGTTATACAACAGACAATGACATTAAAGTTTCTCATTCCTGAGTATCAAGGAAACATGATCTTCATCCCCGGAATAAAAAATCACCTTGTAGCTGGTCCACTTCTGCTGGTTACACCAAGGCATCCAGATAGACCAACCATGACTAAAATTTATTATATTTAACTAAAGGCACACAGTCAACTCAAGCAAGTAAGAACTGCAAATCAGGACCATTTAGATAAGTATAAAATAGCAAACGGCTTGGGTTGCTGGTCTAAACACAAGGTTCACAGGCAAACACATAAAAGCAAAAAATCATATCCAGACACTTAGAAAAGCACAAAACAACCAATGAATTGGGTTGCACCAGATAATCCAATATGTCCTTTCATAGTTAGGGAAAATCCAGAATTTGGTCCTTTAGGGGAGGGGGGGGGCCTTTTAGAACTGATTATGAAAACTTGAACCATATATGCTGCTTGTTAGAGATTCAATTACTAAAGACACAATTAAAAGACAGCTGTCTTTTTCCATAGCAGATACATTATTTAAATTGAACAGAATACTTACTGTTTAGAGTACTAAAGTGTAGACTTCTTTGCACACTACAGATATGATCCCTAAATGAAGTAAACATGTTTCAATACAATCACATTACTGAAGAGCAAAGAGAAAAATAAGTAAAACAAAATCAGATACAAATATAAGTTGTTACCATATGTAAGAACACCCTGTAGTCTCTTGGAAGCTTAGTGCTAATTCTGTAGAAAATTCTGGATCTCTCCATGAAATTATTGTATCTGAAAGAATAAGTGCAGAAATCATTTGATCAAAACTGAACAATTCAATCAAGGTTCACATACCAGACAATGCAGTTATAGTATTAGTGAATGACCAGCAGAAACACACTAGTTGTAATTTCTGGGAACACTCAAATACCTTCTTGTTTTCTGTAAATGTCATCCGGGGTTATACGGTGCAAAAGCAACGTCTCATTGTCCTCTTCATCAATAACATACAAGCCTAGCTCTTCTGATCTCTGCATCATAGCAATTGCATTTGGTAAAGCCCATGATATGGTTAATTAATGATTTTTATAACAAAATCAATTTTCATATATACAAATTAACATTCGAGTCAAAGACTTGAACAGACCTCCAAGTAGTCAACAGTAACATGTCCGGTCCCTTGGTCATCCCATTTCCCATCATCATTCAGACGGTAGACCTTCACCCGCTGCAATTCCAAAATGATAGCTTAATGGGTCATCTATAAAGGGCATGCCCTTATCACTAAAACTACTGCAATAACCAAAAAATTACAGTATACAGCACCTTAAATCAAAGTTAATTAGCAAACAAAATTGGTTTGTTGTCAATAAATCTCCACTTGATCAAGGAATGAGGCACAGGGAAGGCGTAACAGGTCATTTTTACATGTTATACCACTGATAAATCCAAAACTGTAAGCCTGGAGATTTAGGAGAACTAGCTTCCCGTGTTAACTACATAGGTCACCAGTCCAGTGAGGAATTTTAAATCAATAATCAAGCCATCCCAAAGTTCGTGGTTATGCTGCTTTGTAGCATGCATATTTAGCCTAGATGCAATCTCATACGACAATAGGCAAGTTCTTTGATTGCAGAAACCAACAAATAAGAGAGGAAAGAAAGTGCCAGTCAAAAAAAGAAAAAAGGGTGAATGGTGAATAGTGAATAGTGGAACAGTGAACAACTAAGGTGATAATGGTGCATAGCCACTCCTGCTTCACTGATTGAAATTTATGATTTATCAGAAGAACTTGTTTAAAAAGAATCCTCAACTTGGTCACTGAAAAAGTCACAGCTAATGCTCCAGAATCCTGACCATGATAATAACATGGACCAATACACGTCTAGCTAAAGCAAGACCAAAGGAGCTCCCTCTGGCCCATGTCATGACTGAATCAAAATTCAAAATGAGTTCGGGTTGAACTCCAGCAAGCCTATGAATAGAAGTGACTCCCCGATTTCAAACTCTAGAAAGTTTTAAAAAATTTAAAGCGGCAATTTTCTTTCTAATTCAATGTTACCCTTTAATCACAAAACACTGTAGCACATAATCTACACTGGGCTTCAATCTTTTAAGCATCTTTCTATGCAAACAGGAGGATATCTAGCCTACATCCTCTACCAGTAGTATCAAACACTTCAACGGCATAAATTTGCAAAACCAACTTCAAAAAATCTCTGCACTTAGACCTTGAAATTGTTAGCCCCCTCGGTTAAACATACTCATCTCAACAAAACAAGTCAATACCTGCTAAAACCCCAATCCAATACTGACTTCACAGTGCAATTAATGATAAAGCCAGCCAACCACGAATACCAATACCAGCTAACTAACAAGACACCTAGTCCAATTCAATTACAACAGTCACGCTTACATTACCAAGATTAAACAGTAGATTCAATTAACGCTACCAAATCAAATTATAAAAACCATAAACGAGGAGCAGAATCAGGCTTTTCAAGAATTAGTAATGGTTTCCACAATCTCCAATTTTAGGGCAAAAAAAAAGAACTAATTGCGAAGCCCGACTGGAGTTGCACGAAAACGGACTGACCTGCATCGAATTGGAGTTCGCTTGCGATTTCTCTTGCGCGCCCATAGCAGCGGCAGCAAACTCCTTACTTTACGATTCAAATTCAAAGATTTCCCGATAAATTCAATCAGACTAGTCGCAGTTAACTATAAACACGTTAAATTAGGGTTTATTGTAGGGAGAGATAGTATGCAGTATCGAAAAAGTTAAGAGCTCCAGGGAGGGATCAATAGCAAACCCTAACTGCCATGAAAAAGCTAAATTGAACCTTTCGATTTCTCTCTCTCTCTCTCTCTCTCTCTCTCTATTCGTTTCTGTGCAAGCGTTTACATACATTGAAATTTTTGCAGGGTTATTACTGCCCTTGTCTTTGTTGAATTTTACGGAAAAGCCACAGGCCTTTTATTTGTCTGCGCGCATTGTTTTCTGATAGAAATCATCAAGTCATCCCTCGGGTTTCAGCAGTCGGTCGAATCAATTTGATAACTGATGTTTTTATCGGATTGATTTTGTTGCTCGTATATGTATATGTCTAGATATATAAATAAATCTCGATAAAAAGTAAAAAGTAAAGTTGTTTTTCCTACCCATGATTTTTTCATTTTTAGCTTTTATCTAATTTTCTAGGTCTCTGTAGCTAAGTATTTTATTGATTGTAGTAAATTTAATTCAGATAATTTCTAGCTAAAAGACTTGCTTAGCTATCTTGATTCTTGCTATTTTAAATTCCCTTATAAATAATATTTCCTCTCTAACTTTGTCAATGGTTTTTTTTTTCTTTTACTACTTTCATGTAGTGACTTTAAACGTGTAATTTTATGTAAACCATGAAGTTATAGTTTTCACGTAATTAAATTCAATATTTTATTATTATTTTAAGTAGTTCATGATGACAAGAAAATTTTAAAAAATAATATTCTTTAATTTATATAATAGAACTATAATTTTTAAAATTAATGTTGACACAGTGTAATGTAGTGATAAATAAGATTATAAATAGCTTGTAAAAATATCCATTTAATATGTATGTACATATAAGATGGCAAAAAACAACTAAAATAGATTGATTATGTTTAAATACACACCATTAAAAGATAAATATTCGAATAAGTAGTAGTTAAAAATTGAGAAATTAGAAGGAGGGGCTCAAGGCAAGGTGGATGGAAGTAATGTCAAATGATCTACTCTTATGGTTTATGCTTTGATTTTTTATTTAAAAATATTATTGTATAAAAAACAAGTATTAAGTGTCTTGTGAGGTTAAATTGATAGAAATTATAAAATATAATGGTCTACATAGAAATTACTCATAACTTTAAATAAATTTTCAAATATTTTTATTTATGTATGGTCACAACTATAAAATTTAATAGCCCGTTTAAATTTACAATGCATGTCATGCTGAAAATTATATTATAAACTTCATGCCCATTACATACAAGATATTATTATGATTTTTTTGATAATCGAGACTAATATTATACTTGAATTATGAATGATTGATTTGTGATAGTTATAGTTGTAAATAGGATTCAAAGCCTGGATAATTGAGTAAAATTTTATCATTTAAAAATGATCAAATGCTGTTTTTTTTTTATTATTTTAGCTCGCATCACCTAAGTAATTAAGGCAACTTAAGTTTTTTACCCTCTATCTTGTTAATTTATTTTTTAAAAATATTAAAAAATATGTAATTAACTAGCCAAAACCAAGTGAAAAAATAAAAAATCAACCAGCTAAAATCAGGCCTGAGAAGAGTGTTCATCTCTAATTTAGATGTGATGATAGTTATGCTACATTGTGTGTATATAGTTGCTACAGTATAGTTGTGGTTTTTTTTATGATAAAAAAAATAGTAAGTTCTTCATTTCCTTCCTTTTCTTTGCATTATAATTCACTCGCTACAGTAGCAGTAGTAATGAATTATAATTCACTAGTATTAAAAGATTTAAGGTTTGTTTGATAACGCGGTTTACATCGCATTTTCTTAAATTTTGAATTTCTTTGTTTAAAATAATTTTTTTTATGATTTTAGATCATTTTGATATGCTGATATCAAAAATAATTTTATAAAAGTAAAAAATATTATTTATATATATTTTAATATAAAAAAATTATTTAAAAATATAACCATCACTATATCTTTAAACAAGACTCGTCGGCTGTTACTGCTGATGGACATCCCAAAAATGATAATTTCACCTGCAGATCATGAACACAGGGATAACATTAGGAACGAAATTAGTATAGGACTGACATTGAGATGATAGTAGAAGTGCAAGGACGGAATTCACGTTCAATCCCTTTCTTTCTTTTTTTCTCTCGCGATCCACGTTTGAGGAGTGGGTCCCGTGTCTCCCTGTGATGAATAGGCACACACAAGATTCCTCACAGTGGCAAATTGCAGCACGTGTAATTTACTGCTTAGGTATTCCTGTCTGGTCTTTGCTCAAGGTTTTAAGATGACATAGCGGTTAGAGTTTGGTCCAATAATTGGAGAACAGGTAAACAATCGAATTTGGGTAGCAGGAAACAAGTACTTTTTGGGACCTGTGATATTAGTTTGGAGGTGATCAAAGCGTTGGAGAAGTGCCACGTTGGATGAAATGATTGGCTATTGTGTTGGACGGTGGCGGTTCAAGAAAGAATGGTTCGCTTCCTGAGAATAAAAAAGACGGTGAAAAAAATATGTTTCTTTGAAGATATAAAAATAAAAATAAATATATTTTAAAGATAATTTTAAAATTAATTTTTGCATTTTAAAAACAAAATGTCCAAATAAAATATGTCTCAAAAACAATACATGTTATTTCTTATTACAAAATATTATTATAAAAAAACTTTGAACCCCAAAAAATTCCAACTAAAATAAATAAATATAAAAATAATTATTATTATAATTTAAAAATCCAACTCAGTAATCAATCTAAACAAAAATCGAGTCAGTAGTCAAGTATTCGGTCACAAGTAAGGTTAACCGGATTTAGCATAAAAATAAAAATAATTATTATCATAATTTTAAAATATGATCTAGAGATCAACCCATAACAGGACTTACGTCACAAGCGGAGTTGATTGTTAATTTAGGTCATCATGATGATATAAATAATTATTGTCATAATTTTTAAATCTAATTCAATGATTGACCCTGGTTAAGGCATGAGTCACGTGTCAGAATGGTAAATACAAATTAACCAGGGGTCAACACAAGATAAGGTTCATATCACTTTCCAGGAAAGTCACCCCGGTTAACCTGGATTTTTTAAAAAATAATAAAAACAATGTTGTTTTGATCAAGTTTTTAACTTATATTTTCTTCCAAGTTGACCTGAGTTTTTTATTAGATCAAGCTGAGTAAGTTATTTCTAAACTTTTTTCAAAACTTTGAATAGTTCATGTTTTAGATCAGCCCATCAAGTTAATCATGGTTTTTGTAACTATGGTTATTATAATATTATTAATTTTAACACTTGATATAATTTAAACACAAAGTAAAAATTATCTAATTATTTTTTTAATATATAGATTTGATAACAATACAGAGTAAAATATATATTTTTTATATCTTGTTTTATCTTCTGTTGACCATAACTCAAGTCTTGAATTTTTTATTTAAAAATATTATCATCATTTGAGCATCAATTTTTATGTTAAAAATAATCTGGCCTGCCTTGCGATGTATCATAAGCTGTTAATCTAAGTTTATTTAATTTAATTTTTTAGATTTTTTTTTCAATTTTAGTCTTTAATATTTGATTAATTAGAACTGAACTCTTTATTTTATTTTGATTTAGGTTTTATGGGTTTATTATGGTTTTATTTTTTAGATCATAAAATATTTGGTCTAAGTCAATTCTATATATCATTGTCATAATATTTTTTTTTAAATATTCATTAATATATTATCACTATAATATTTTAAATTAAAATTTTTATTTTCTAACATCAATTTTTTTAAGGATTAAAAAAAAAAAATCGAACACCGGCGTATCACAAAAAAAAGAAATTAGATTTATAATTTTAAAAAATACATAGTTAAATGAAACTAAGCCTACTGAGAAAAAATACCGAGGATTGGAGTAATGATTTTTTTAAATTTTTTTTAATATAACCATCAAACTTTTTTATCATCACAGTCAAGACATTTTAAGTTTAAATTAATATTTAATTGCATTTTTTTTTAAAGGTGTAGATTGAAAGCTAGATGACCACAAATTTACTTATGATCAATTTGGCAATACCAAATATATCTCGTGCAAACTTTTTGCTCTGTAATTTACATTGTCCTGGCTTGCATTACGAGTGATAAAAATATCATTGCACTGTAACAGTCAAATGAATTTTAATTATAAAAACAAATCCTTTTCTTTTTTAAAAAATCATCAATTACAACAAACTCCTATATATATATACACATACACACACATTTCAAGAAAAAAAATGAAGTATGCAAGGGTTAGGAAAAGAGAAGTCGAATTGTAGTATAAGAAAGCTGGTTTGAAAATATTTTCACAATAAAAAGTCATCATGCAGCCTTTTGTTTAGTTTGTTTTTAAGGTTATTGCTCAAATGGTGATGTATGTAATTTTTTTTATAGAGGTTACGTAGTCTTTTATAATGGTATTACGATTATTTTGGTAAACTCTTTTTAGCAGCGGATTGATTTCCATGATGCAACAACAATTAATATTTGACAGGTTTTTTTTTTCTTTTTTAAAATATAATATTTGTGATTTATTTTTTATAGTTGATAATTAATAGTTTATTTAATTTAATTTATTTATTATTATTATTTTTTTATCATATTATTAAATTAATTGGACTTCTTAGATCTAATCAAGCTAATAACTCAAGTCTTGAATTTTTTATTTAAAAATACTATCATTATTTGAGCATCAATTTTTATGTTAGAAATAATCTGATCTGCCTTGCGATGTATCATAGACGATTAATCTAAGTTTATTTAATTTAATTTTTTAGATTTTTTTTTCAATTTTAGTCTTTAATATTTGATTAATTAGAACTGAACTCTTTATTTTATTTTGATTTAGGTTTTATAGGTTTATTATGGTTTTATTTTTTAGATCATAAAATATTTGGTCTAAGTCAATTCTATATATTATTGTCATAATATTTTTTTTAAAAAATATTCATTAATATATTATCATTATAATATTTTAAATTAAAATTTTCATTTTCTAACATCAATTTTTTTAAGGATTTTAAAAAAAAAATCGAACACCGGCGTATCACAAGAATCTAGTTTTACAACTGTAGCTTCTTATTGTTGAGTTTTATTCCCATCTCATTTTTTTGTTACTTTTCTGCCAGTCCCTCTGTCAATGTCAATCCTACAGAGAATCTGTGCCGACACAGGGCCTCTCTTCTGTCCTCCCAACAAAATTCAGATTTTCATCGTGAAACTATACTTGTAGTTTTGATAGTCCATCATTCGATAGCCAGCTAGCATTCACAGAAGAGATGACTGTCAGGTCCGAGGATGACAGATTCCCTATACCAGCACTGCATGGGAGTGTAAATGAGATGACTGGAGTATACTCGCAACATTTTTCCAAATATACATTTGCACGGGCAAGATAAATCTGCTGGTAAGTACTCCGAGTCTGCTGACGTCGTAGATTTTGCAGCAACTGGTGGGCCATTTAGCTACTGTTTTACATTATTATTTTTTAAATTGTTTTAATATTTTGATATTAAAAATAATTTTTTAAAATAAAAATAATAATTTTAATATATTTCTAAAAAAAATTAAAAAACAATCAGTACTTATATTTCCAAACACCCTCGATATTTGACTTCCATACTTGCAGAGATGATCATCTTATTTCCTAGGTTTGCAAAGTTATGCTTCATATCACGGATTTAATGTGTTTCAAGTCTCCTCTTTCAAACTGTTCTGATTCTGGGACTTCCAAAGCAGCAATATTCACCTCTAACCTCGGCTAAGGACTCAATCCCATCAATTAGATATTGCTGCTAGTGCCATATGTGCAATTAGATATCGACAGTGTCAATGTAGGATTGTCATCAGACATAGCAGCATTGCTAACCGATTACTGTTTGCTGATAAATGAGTGCATGATTCTGCAGAGGTTTCTCTTCGTGGTCACTCTCTCTTCTCATGTGAGATCTGTCCTAAACTCATACTGGTAAGATTCACTGTCCGAGCTAACCTCGTATATTATTGGACAACTTAGTTATCCTGATCTGATCATGAGAATTATTTTATCAGAGTTTTGATCAGTTGTGTCTTCCACTTCCTGGATTCAGGTTGAACAGGAATGTTACATGAAATCTCCCTTTTTCCTTGCAAGATGTCCGAGTTTGAGTGTCTCAAGTTCCACCACTTATGCGTCCTGATATTTGGCTTTTATAATTCCTGGCTTGTCTTCTGACACCGTTTTTTTTTTTTTTTTGGTGTTTGACAGTGTCTTCGTTAAGAAAAAAAATAACGAAGACACCTAGCACTTCGGTATTTATTGCACACACAGTTCAGATTTCATGGAAGCTGTTAATTGCAGGAAAGAAGACGAAGTGACGACAGTGTGTAGCACAGCTTTTTGTGAGCCCAAACATTCAACACACCAGGCTTTTTCTCAAGTAAACAGTGAAAAATTAGCTAATTTTATTTATTTTTGTTGCAATGGGTGCCAATGTGTGCACAAATCAAGGAGGGACGCTTTCCACATTTTCATTGAAACCACCCCCAGCAAATTGTATGCTGATGCGCAGGGCATGATTCTAATATCTGGGAATCTGGTCTGTGGCGTGTTTTTACTATACCTTAGTCTATATTTCAATCTTAGAGCTTGGAAGAAGAAAAACCCTCATCTATAATCTCTGATGCTGGAAGTGGAATTGTAATGAATATTATTAGGCAATTTGTATGTGTCCCTCTTTTCTTTTATCACCGAGAAAATGTAAAGCTCTCTGAAAATCAAAAGAATAAGGATCTAAATAAAAACATAGATCAAGGACCTATCTGTAATTTGTGAAAAAGGGGGGAGGGGAATCGTTTTTCAACAAGCAAAACGGTACGCGCCATGCGACATGAGTACAGCAACAAATAAGAAAAAATAAAGGAAGGTAGCAAAAGTAGCTCAACAGCCGCACTTTGATATCTCCGCCCCTTTCAACGGACTTCTCAAAGCCCTCTCCCTCTCTGAAAACCTCATAAATTTTTTTAAAAGACCTTCCATTTATATAATCTCCCTCTTCCACAACTCTCTAGCATTTGCTCTTCTTCTTTCTTGCAATATGCAATCCTCGGTAACTCTCTCGCTCTCTCAGCCAACAGCAGCCTCAACCATTCCCAAATCAAACTACTCGGTTAATCACTCCCTCCCTTTCTCCCCCTCTAAGCCCATAAATCTCCGTTTCTGCGGTCTTAGAAGAGAAGCATTTTCAGGCTTCTCTTCTCTCTCTCGCTCTCAATCCCCCCAAAGTAAAATCCATTCTAATAAAATTAACAGTGCAATCTCAGCTTCTTTATCTGATAATGGAAGCGCGCCAAAGTCATTTGATTATGATTTGGTCATTATCGGTGCTGGTGTTGGCGGCCATGGTGCCGCTCTTCACGCTGTTGAGAAGGTAGTTACCTTCTTAACTGTTTTCTTCTCGCTTTTTAATTGTTAATATTAGAAGCTTAGATTAAGTATTTAATTGATTTCTACGTTTGAACTTTTTTTATTTATTTATTATTATTTAAATCACATTGATCTTCATCTGTTGATTTATTTTTGCTCTCTCGTTATGTAGTGAAGCTCAGACCATCTGTGCTTTAGTGTGACTTTTTTTTTTATACTTATTTTGTTTGAATGTTTGTGATCCTCACCTTTTTATTTGAGTCATAGTGATTTTGAGCTTTAATTTTTGTTGATTAATTTTACAATCTTAGATTAATTGTGCCTACGATAACTGTACAAGCTTAGATTAACTGTGCTTTATACAATAACATAATTGTTTTTCTTTTAATTTTATTTATTCTTTATAGCCGAGCTTTAGTGTTGCTTATATGCTATTATTTGCTATTTGAACTGAGTAGAATAGGTGTGAATCTTGACAAATCTATAATTACAGGGTTTGAAAACTGCTATTATTGAAGGAGATGTGATAGGGGGGACATGTGTGAACAGAGGTTGTGTTCCTTCAAAGGCGCTTTTAGCTGTAAGTGGCCGGATGCGTGAACTACAGAACGAGCATCACATGAAAGCTTTGGGTTTGCAGGTAATAGAGGATTTTCATTGTTCTGTTTTGTTTTTCTTGTTCCGTTTTTTTTCCTATTTGGTTCAATGCGGGCAAATAATGTTATTTTATTTCGTTCTTGGAATTTGTGAATAGGTTGCAGCTGCTGGATATGATAGACAAGGAGTGGCAGATCATGCCAATAATCTTGCTACAAAAATTCGTAATAATTTAACGAACTCGATGAAGGCCTTGGGCGTGGATATATTGACTGGTGTTGGCTCAATTATGGTGAGTTAACATTCTGTCACTCGGTAGCGCCAGAACCATAAACAAAATTCTCTTACTTGGTCTACAAAAAAGATTTTTTTTAGAGATGTACTATGGTGCTGTGATTTGGATTTTGATGCGTCCCAATGCCTTTTATTTTTTATTCATCCAGGGCCCACACAAGGTGCGATATGGGAAACTTGATTCTCCAGGCAACATTGTGACTGCTAAAGATATAATCATTGCTACTGGTTCTGTCCCTTTTGTACCCAAGGGCATCGAAGTTGATGGTAAATATTCTGTCTTTTTTCATTATTACACAATGATCAACCATTTTCATTAAAAGTTTGATCCAAAGCAGTTCACATAATAAGATGCAACACCCTTTTGAAAGATGGATGCTTCTCCTCCTGTTCAATCCCTTTTTTTTTTTTATTCACATCAATGTTGCAACTTGTGGAAAGCATGTTTGCAGCTTCATCCTCCTCAGCATTACAGCCTCATCCTCCTCAGCATTACAGGAGCGTAGCATGCCTTTTGTGGCAATACTATGATATGGAATCTTCTAATTTCTGTGTAACGAACTGCAGGGAAGACTGTAATCACAAGTGACCATGCACTCAAACTGGAGTCTGTTCCCGATTGGATAGCAATTGTGGGAAGTGGTTATATTGGTCTAGAATTCAGTGATGTGTATACTGCCCTTGGAAGTGAGGTATTGCCTTTTTTTCTTCTACGTTTATGTTTTTTTCCCTAAGGTCCATTTAGAAAATACTGTTGCCGAGCATTCTGCTGGGAAAGCACAGCTTGATAAGCTAACAATTCCTTTTTTCTCCCTTTCATGCTGTTTAATGATTCCTCCTTACCTCTTCCCTTTTCTCACTTCAAGTTTTTTTATACATGACTTTGCTACCCATTGGAACCCAGCTTTGCATGGGAAGATCCTTCCCAACTTTTTGCAGTGCTTATGTGCATCTATCTAAAAAGCTCAACATGATATGAGCTTTCCAATGTAATTAATTGTATATATTTCTAGGTGACAAGCTATCTCAGTTTCCACCATCGCAGAATCCTGGCATATTATTAGTTTGCAGTTTATATTCTCACATTTAAATTTTGTTAAACGATATATATATGAGGTTCAGTAGCTGGATGCATCAGTCCCATGCTAACACTTCAGTGCATGGACCTTGAATTCAGGAATTCCCTTTTTCATTAAGACATGAATATCCATTAAGGCTCTACCTTGATTCTTTTCCTTCTTTTTTTCCTTCTTTTTTTTTTAAAAGAAGTGAGCAGTGCCAGGTAGTAGCTTGTATTTATTGATCAATTTTTTTCATTTGGCATCATCATTGCTAAGATTATTTGTCAGAGAAATTTAGATGTTCTGAACTTCTCTTTGCAGATAATTGATGTCATTGATTGGGTTCATTTGCAGGTCACCTTTATTGAAGCCCTTGATCAGCTCATGCCTGGATTTGATCCTGAGATAGGAAAGTTGGCTCAAAGGGTCCTAATTAATCCACGCAAAATTGACTACCATACTGGAGTATTTGCAACCAAGGTAATCAGAATTTCATATTCATGCAGCTTTTTGGTCCTTTTAGTGATGATCTCCACTTCCTTTTGTCTTTCGTTCCATAAACATCATCTTAATTTTTGTTATTCACAGATCACTCCAGCTAAGAATGGGAAACCAGTTACCATTGAGCTCATTGACGCCAAGACCAAGGAACCCAAAGATACTCTAGAGGTATGTTGTGAATGGTTTCATTTAAATTAAGTCTGGATGTTGGATGCTGTATCCATCACTATTAGTGCCTTGCAGAGCAAAGTAGATTGCTAAAAGACTTCATTTCTATATGTTTTTCAAGGAGAAAACGCCTGCCTGTAAAAATTTTTGAGCATTTTTTTTTTAATCTCCAGTCATGTACCTCCACAAAACAACCAACTAAATCATGAACTTATTGAATGAGATACAGTCAACGAGCATCCCTGTCCCATTCACAGAACATAACGTCGCTAATTTACAGATGGACCTCTGTTATGTTTAAGCCTGTACGGTTACAGCTTCTAAAATTTGGAATTAGTGCCATTTACTTCCAGACACCTCCTGCAGTTCAGGCATGGTCATTTGCATACACTCACCTAATTTAAACATTAGTATTCAGTATCATTTCACTGCATGCAAATTTCCAGTTTTCAAAGGATGTCTTTGTTTGTCTTATGATCTAAATCTCATCTCATGGCATCCATGGTAACTCTGAATTTGCTTTTGCTATAGGTAGATGCAGCATTAATTGCAACTGGAAGGGCTCCTTTCACAGATGGTCTTGGCTTGGACAGTGTATGTATCCTTTGATGATAGTGCTGCTTTAATAAAATAGATTTGTCTCCAGGAAGAAGGAATTGGTTTTAATTCTCTCTCTCCCCCCCCCCCACAGGTCCATGTAGAAAGGAAACGCAGTTTTGTTCCTGTTGATGAGCGAATGCGTGTCCTTGATTTTAAGGGGGATCCGGTTTGTTCAATTATTTGCTAATGAACACATTTTAATATATGGCTGTTGCAAATCATTATTAATATCTGATTTGATAATATCAATGCTTAGGTTCCTCACTTGTATTGCATTGGTGATGCTAATGGTAAAATGATGCTTGCTCATGCAGCCAGTGCACAAGGAATTTCAGGTTAGTTGCAAGTGGATCATTTTTTGTGACCTCAAATCCAATGCTTGCTTCTACAGTTGTTTCATCTTTTGCATTAATTCTTGACACAGTGATTGAACAAATCACTGGAAGGGATCACGTGCTAAATCATTTGAGCATTCCGGCAGCTTGTTTCACTCACCCTGAAATCAGTATGGTTGGATTGACAGAGGTAAATGCTAAAATCTTGCAATTGCATTCAGTTCTATGAATGTATAACGTCCTTTATTTACTCCAGGATTTATGATCAAGTTAGCTGAAAACAACTTCTATACGAACAGTTTGCATTCTTTACATCCTTTCTGACTCTCAAACAAGATTCTTATTTTGCTTTACACATGAGGTTTTGACTGAATACTTAAATTCACAGCCTCAAGCAAGGGAGAAAGCTGAACAGGAGGGTTTTGAAGTAAGTGTTGCCAAGACAAGTTTCAAGGCCAACACAAAGGCCTTGGCAGAAAATGAAGGAGAGGGGCTAGCTAAGGTTAGATTCCCTAACTCTTCCTCCTCCTCAATTTTCCTTTGCAAACATAATTTGAATGATAAAAAAGATTCACTACCTGATGTTATCTTGTCTCATTGGATAGCTATGGATTCGTTCCAAAACTACTCTTATGATACCTGAACTATTGACTAGTTTGTTTTGCATGTTAGATCTAATATGATCTCTTCCATAGGTTATGAGCATCATGAAGTTTCTTAGCTGTTGCTGGAACAGTAGTTGTAGTAATTCTTCGCTGCTGTTAACATATTTGTTTGTTGTTTAAGGACTGCTAAATTCACACTTATCAATAGTGGTCTTAAACAAGAGTTTCTCCATGTGGATGGAGACAAAATGCAGATTTTGCAATAAAATTTGGCCAGGCCGAGATTAATTAATCATAGATCTATTATCAAATGTTCAAAATAGTTGAGATCATCAGTAGTGTCTCATTGTAATGCGGCAACATTAAATAATACAACTCACTAACAACTGCAATTTCTGTGGACCTTAGTTATTTATTTCCTTAATCGGTTGCTTGATCTTCTTCTTCTCTAGCTGTTATTATGTATCACCATGAAGAAAAATTTATTTTAGGAACTGCTCAAGAATCTTTTTGGTTGTTTTGTGGTTGCATCTACTTGGCAATATGATGTTTGCGATCAGTTGGAGCACAAACATATGTTTCTAGTAGGCCCCTATTGAGTAACTGATATAGATCACACTCAGGATTATGAATTTTCATGAGTACTCAATTATTGTGTCGGCTGCCCCACCAACAGCTTAATTTCTGGATTGGATGCTATAACATGGGTTCGGAGCCTGCAACTGCTTTTCTGAATCCAATAAATTTGTATTGAAATGTTATTGCTATATTTTCATATGCTGACATGTGAGGTCTTTCAGTGTTTATATGACCCTGTTGATCAATCTATTCTCACTAACTTCCATGATTGGGTACTCTTTTACTTTCTTGCAGTTGATATACAGACCTGACAATGGAGAGATACTTGGCGTGCATATTTTTGGGTTGCATGCTGCAGATCTCATCCATGAAGCATCCAATGCTATAGCTTTGGGCACTCGTATTCAGGTATGCTTGTGCATCTCTATTTATGGTGTACAATGCCCTTTAGAATGAACTTATTCATTAAGTTGGATGATTATTATCAGGGTGCAACTTCTATTCCTTAATAAACTCGCAACTCTATTTTGTCCATCAACTTTCTGTCTTGAAAATGCTTCTTCAGAGCTCATTTATGTACATGCATCGATTCTAACCCCCCTTCTTTACTAATTATATTTGGCACAATGCAGGACATAAAATTTGCAGTTCATGCACACCCAACACTATCAGAAGTTATTGACGAACTTTTCAAATCAGCAAAGGTGAGCTTCTGGATGAACACATACTTGTATCATCTTATCACTCCATCAAAGAAATGGCACACACCTCCATGCATGCGTACACTGAGCATGGCCATGATCATCCCATTTGTTTGAGTTTCCATGAATTTAGAAGAACAAATCACATGCACCTTCATGATTTCAAAGTTGAGATAATTCCTGGGTTTATGCTCATATTTCATATAAGCTTATCTTTGAACTTAAAATGTATTGAAGACGTGTGTGTACTGACACAAAAAGGTGATGGATAAACCTCCCTTGAGGAATAGTTTCCACAATTTTTTTGCAATAAACTGCTTGCTGTAGTATATCAACTTTTTTCAGCAAACTGCTGTCTAATAACCCCATCCTGATACATGTTCACCCACAATTGGTGGTTGCATGTATTTATCAAGCCGAAGAGAGCGTCTTCGAAGTTCAACCTATTGACAGTTCTTATTTCATGGGGCAGGTTAAAGCTCATGCTTCAGGCCCAGTAAGTGAACCAGTTGCTGTCTAAGCATCTCAACTGTGGAGGTAGACAAAATTTTGAAGAAATTTGCTTGTATTAGGAACTATAAAGGAGGGCACATGCTAGAGAAAAATCCATGAATTTATTACACTGCCAGAAGAAACGTCATCAGGAGATGGACTGTTGCAGCCTGAAATCATTTATAAGTTGCTCTGTTGTTTTATTGTATCCACCATTGCCTTGGAAAGATACTCAAGTTCATATATTACTTCCATTTTGAAACTTGTTTTGATTATGATATATTGGACAGTTAATAATCTACTCCATTAAAAAATGCCAGAGTTCTTAGCTATCACCATTTTAAAACTCTTGTGTGCTTGCGAGCGTCCCTGTGGTATCTTTTTTTTTTACTTGCTCATGGTAGCCAGATTAAAATATCTCACAAAGATCCTCCTGTGGTTGTTGATGCTTGTTATCAGGTATTAAGATGACAGACCGTCAGACCCACAAGATACATTCCATCATGAGTAGGACCTTTCGCACTCCTTTGTGCCTGTTACCACAGGTTTCTCTTATGATGACTGAACTATTACTGAAATTATAACAATTAAAAAGATTTAGATGGCGGTGCTTGATTCTCCTCCAGCAAACCCATCTAAACGCGCCTGTTTCTCAATGACTTGGCCTCGTTCACTATCGGCGCTAGGTCTGTGTGGTTGCTGCAGCGCTGCTCGCACTTCCCACCTCCTTCAAAACTTGTGCCTTTCGAAACAGGGTCTATGTGATAAAAATCTCAATTCGCTCCCTGGGCTGATGGGGACGCCTTAGTAAGGCACCGTTTTCTTTTCCAAAGCTGCTGGATTGCCCGTTACATGTTCTATAATTTGCCCATGTATAACCTATTTTGTTTACAGAAGTCCTTCTTTTGATAAAACAAATCCTCTCCTGAAATATATATATATTAGTGTTTATGTTATGTGATTTTTATTCATGTAAATATGTTTAATTTTAATAAAAATTATTTATCTTTAATATTTATCAAATATTTGATTAATAAATATAATATTTAATTAATAGAAAATAATTCATTTAATTCTATTTTTTTTAGAATTACAATTTAAATTTATATTTGAACAAATTTATTAAGTATTTTTATAAATATAATATTATAGCTTTTGTTTTCTTGTTAAAAGTACGTGTTAAACAACAATTGTAAAGAAATTCATGGGCTAGGTTATTGAATTAAAAGAGAATTCGTTCTTATAATACCATAACTCTATTATGATTTTTGTTATTTTTATTTAATTTTGACTAGACTTTTTAGGTTAAAATTGGAGGAAAATATAAATAAAAAGAAAGAAAATTCGCATAATAAAAAATGAATGGAAGTTTTATTTTTTTAACATGAATATACCTACTTAAATTCGTTTAACTATGATATTTAATGTAAGATACCTTGAACAAAAAACTTTCAAACACAGTTTTTTGTAAAAAATATAGGGACTAATGCTAACTTTTTAAAATAATTTAAAGACCAAAATGTATATTAAAAGAAGTGATAATAACAAAAACATAATATACAAAGATGATAGAAAAATCTCTTAAACAAAACAAAAAAAATAAAATAAAAAACCGTAAGAAAGCATTAACCTATTAAAATTATCCATGAACCCATCCTGAAGTGAGAGGAGAGCACGACCCTGATTGCACTTGCCCACCAATTCCTCCTTGATTTGATGCGAGATTCAGCTGATTATTTTTATTCACGAAGAACAAACGCTGTTACTAAATTTTTTTAAAAAATATTAATTTTTTATATTTTAAATCATTTTAATATATTAATCTCAAAAAAAATTTAAAAAATAAAAAAATATCATTTCAATATAAAAAATATTTTCTATACAAACAAATAGATCCATAATAAATCCAACATCGAGAATAGAAAAATATTTTCTATACAAACAGATCCATAATAAATCCAACATCGAGAATACTAAAAGTAATTATTTTTGTTTTGATTTTTATATTTAAAAAACAAACAAACTGGATTTTAAAAAAAAAACTAAAACGGAGTAAAACCAATCAGTTTTAATCTGGTTTAATTAGATTTTTAATTGGTTCAATTAGATTTTTAATTTTAAAAGACTAATAAAACCTATACGCTCACATTTCTTCTCGAACTCAAGTAAAATATCTTTTCACAAATATTGTTTTCCATACATTGTATAAACAACCAAAAGTTAAAAATCAACACCATTGTTTTCAATTAAAAAATAAAAATAAAACTAATATCTCAAATCCAAAATTATACTATAAATTAAAACCATAAATTTCTTGCAAAATAAACATGGTTTTTTCTATATTTTTCAAATACCCAAATACCAAAAATCCAAATCTGATTTTTTAAAACCCAAACCTCAAAATTTTTTATACAAATAAATCTTATCTTCTCTGTATTTAAAAGAATACCCAAAGCTGAAAAACAAAAACCATGTTTTTATTATATAAAAAATATCAAAAAAGAATGTTAACAAGATAAGTTGAACATCTTATTTTCTCTACATTTAAGAGAATGTTGACAAGATTGAAGATATATATGTGATTGGCTAGTTGTTCTAGATTTCTGTGTTTCTAATATAGGAAAAGAGAGAGGGAGAGGCAAGAAAGGGCTGCTGGTAACTAAGGTTACCAGGGGGTAAATTATTTTTTTCTATTTATAATATCTTTTTTTAACTGGTTTAATTTGATTTAGATTAACTAGTTTCTGTCTTATAAAATCAGATCCAAATCAAACTGATTTTTTTTTAAATATTCTAATCAAATTATTTGTTTGATTTTTTTAGTTAATTCCCTTTTGTTTTCTTAGTTTAACCAGTTTATCCATTTTAGTTTATCAATTTTCATTCGCATCTCTAACTTCCCTCCCTACAAACAAACCAAAAGAATGAAGAAGCTGATATTTCTATGACCTTTAAAATATGTTTGAAAATGTGATGAGTTCACAAAAAATTTAATTTTTTTTTTGTAAAACACTAATCTTTTTATATATTTTAAATCATTTTAATATGATTATCTTAAAAAATAAAAAAAATCATTTTAATTCATTTCAATATAACAAATTCCTTTAAAAGCAAATTCCCACTTCCACGTCAGCACTAAACTTCCAAATAAGCACCATATACCGAGGATGATTTTTTTTTTCTGGGTTAAAAATCAAAAGCATTTATCTTCATTAATGAATGTATATAATATAATCTGGTGGGTGTTGATGATCTGAGCTGGTATAAACACAATTCTTCTACATAAATCCGAGTCTATGCATTGGCTGAACCCCACAAGACAGCTGCAATTTTAAATTGATCATTCAAGAAATCATCAGGGTTGCAAGCTGAAGGCAACAAGCTGAAGGCAATCGATTCACAAGTACAAAATCATCAGGGTTGCAAGCTGAAGGCAATCGATTCACAAGTACTTCGGTGAACATGGCAGGATAAAATTACAAAAAAGCATCAGAAACTAAGCCCAATGTTGCTTGTTTTCAAGTTTATATTCATCTAATAATCTTCAGCATTATAACCAAGTACCTACAAACAGAAAATCCGAACAAAACTCAATTCACAACTCCTTTCCATCTGTCTCTTCAACAAGCGACAAACGAAAAGATGAAAATACATCTCATCATTTATAAGAAAAGAATGAAAGAACTGGAATTCTGAACAACAATCTCGAACAAGCTTGGAAACACAGAAAAATAAATGTCTACTGCTGAACACACCATGGAAAAAACGTAGTTTCTCTCAAAATTACACAATTAAGGACAAAACTTAAGTAACATCATATCGTTAATGGTATGTAGTCACTGACATTAAAGTGAAACCACAAATCCAGTTCACTATCAAATGCCACCAACAGAGCTACTTTCGGTGAGCTTACTGACCATTCACATAAAAAACAGCCACAGGGCTAATATGTGATTGGCTAATTGGCCACCGTCATGACACACACCAGCACCGCCTAAGTTGGAGCTAAAAGACATTGAAGATCACTATGACACCACATTCAAAAGCTACGATCACACTAAACGCACCATTAAACTTTTTATAGCTTGTTATATAAATAAGGAACAATCCTGAACTCAAAAGGAATTTCCAAGCTAAATAAGCTGACTTCTAAAACCAGAACTGCATTGCCACTAAATAGGAAAACGCATTGACTACCAAATGGGAAAACCAATCTACCAGCACCGGCTGATATCAATAGGGACTGTTCTACGACAATTATAACAGAAGTAAATTTAACACAACTCGAATAGCAATGCGAAACTACTGATTTACCACCTAAACTTCAATAAACTTTGGAAATCCTAGGATTATACTACAAATAAGCAGTAAGAATTAGAAATAAGATACAGAGACAAGAACACAGTCATGGAATAATTATAATGATCCAAAGCTTTAAAAATCTTAAACAAACATCAGTAGCAATAATCCAAAATCGAAATTTCTAGTTTGACAGTACAGCCAACTACCGGAAAACAAGATCCAAAATAAGTAACATTGAGACACTACACTATAATGGCAAAATAGTGCTCGTTTATAAGGCAAGGATTCTACTCTTCGTCGGTGGCGGTCTCACCACACTTCTTGTTATGCTTCCTTGCGTACCTCTGGTTCCTCAAAAACTTGGGGTCCATCTACACAAAAAAGACCCATTAGCAAAACAGTACTGCGGAGCAAAAAAAAAAAACGTAGCAGATTCACAAGAAAGAAAGGTGAAGTACCCCTTTGGTGGAGGTGTGGCGATGCCTCTTGGGTTTCTTGATGCCATTTTTGTGAGCTTTGTGTGACTGGTTGTGTGCTGTGTGATTCTTTGACTTGGCCATCTCTGCAACTCAAAAAAGAAACAGTTGATAATCAGTCTCACAAAGACAGCATGATCTGTTTATGTAAGAAAAAAAGGGGGTGTTGATGGTGAAATGGATGTGCAGACCTGAGACGAAGAATTGATGCGGCTCTGGGGCACGAAGAGAGGCGAACAGGCCAAACCCTAATTCGCTGCTGCCTTTATAGAAATTAGAGTGTCACTAAAAATAAATTGTCCTGAGACGGCCCTGCTTGTACGCCTTTGCGGTTGAGAAACTTCTAAATACAGGGCTTCTTTGGTGGGCTTTGAACATTTGGCCCATGCAGCTTCTTTCTCTCTTCCATGTAAAATAGTTCATCAGCTCGCTCTAAAAAATTCCAAAACTTTTTTTTTAAAACAAAATAGGAATTATTTAACAAACACTGTTGTTAAAAAATATTTATAGTTCTATTTTTTATTTAATTTAAAATTAAAATTAATGAATTAAATGTTTTAAGGATAATCAGACAAGTTAGTAAAAAATATAAACTTGATAAAAAAATATATCTTGACTTGATTTATTATTTATTCTATGTTTAAAATTAAATTATGTAAGAATTATGTTGATATGATCTAATAAATTTAATCGATTTAAATGTAACTTGCTAGATATTAAAATAATTTGATGGTGAAATAAATAAAAAATAAAATTAAAAGGTAAAAAAAAGTATCAATTCAAAAAAAAAAAGAAAAAAAGAAGAAGAAGATAATATCCAAAGGTAACGTCTCGTTTTATGTTTGATGGTGGTATTCTTCCTTACTGTTATCAATGTCCTTCCTTGCAACTTTTACAAATTTATTAATTTATGTTGTTTTTTTATCTATAATTATATTAAAAATACACTTCGACATGAATTACAAAAAAAATTAATATTTGACATCAGGTTATGATTTAAATTTATTTTTCATAAATAGAATAATTTATACATGAAAAACATGACTGGTAAAAAACAAATTGAAATAAACATAGCAAGGAAAGAGGGTAAAACAAGTTATAATCTAAGATTTAAAAATTAAAAATTTTAATTGTCAACAAAAATAAAACTTATACTCAACTTCACAACAATTTTTTTATTCAAATCAAGTATATTGTAATAAAACTGAAAAGTAGTTTGTCATCTTATGTTAGTCCATGTATTTATAAAACCGGTGTAATATTATTTTTTAATCCCTAATGTTTTATCATATAATTTATTTTAATTTATTTATTATATTTAGATAATAAAGATATTATTGTTCTAGCGTATTTAAGAGTATAATTATAGTGATTTTTTAAAATATTTTGTAGTGTTCTTGTCGCCTGGAATGTGTATGGAGTACACAATGCAAGAAAGAGAATATCATACATGAGAATGTTCTTGTCGCATGGAATGTGTATGGAGTCCACAACTTAGATTTTTATACATCTAATCCATGAACTTACCTGATTATAATTAAAAGAAAATATTTTTGCATAAAAATTCATGGAAAGTTTATATGCGCAAATCCCGTAGACTGAAAAAAATATATAAAGTTGTGCCGAGTAGGTGAGTTGGGATGAGGTTGGGCTTAAAATATCCATGATTTATCTCACCAATGCTTTTACAGGACTAAAAATATTATCACCGGAGCCATGTTTTGTTCTTGTCTTGTCCTTTTCCCACCCCTGCCTTGTTAGCATAGGGACAAAATTATCAAACGAGTATGGGACTAGACTCGCGCTTGGCAGTACGTTTTAATTTTTTTTATTTTAAATTAATATATTTTTAAATTATTTTAATATACTGATTTTAAAAATAATAAAATACTATCAATATAATTTAAAAAATATTTTTTAAAAATTACAATAACATTTTCAAATACACTCGTTAACCTTGATAGCTGAGAGGAACAAAATTGTTCAGGGAAATGAAAAAAAGAAAAGGAACAGTGATATTTTTTTTTAATTAACGATTACCGAAGGGTCCATATTTTCCAACGTATGAATGCGAATAAATACAGACCGACACGGTCAAAACTCATCATGTGTTGACCTCACCTAACCCCTGGCTTGAGCCAAGCCAGTGGAAACCAGCCACGGTGAGTTGTTACACTGAGTGAGCAAGCTAATAGAGAACGCCAAAGGAAGAAAAAGAAATTGACAGCAATAAAATATAGAGGAGACAGGTTGTTGAATGCATATTTAACTTTGGTTTTTTTAAAAAAAAATTAACATGATAAATATAAAATTTTGACCGAACAGCACTGTTTAATTTTTCTTTAGTGAAATAATATATTTTTATATTTTGGAAGTATAATATTTAAGTGAATCATAATAATTTAAAATATTGTATTTCATATACGTAACATCAAATAAAATTTAAATTTAGATTGAAAAACATAAAATTATAATTAATTTTACAGTTCATAACAGCTATATTTAAGCAAATATTATGATTTTAAAGCACAATATTATTAAAATATAATATTTATGAATCACGGTATCATCAATGATTAAACTGTGTTATTTCATGAAAAAAAATCCTATGTTATTGCATTTTATTTTATTTTTTTCTGTGCTAATCACACAAACTTTTCATTGTCCTTGTCATTGCTGCTCCGCCCTGTTATTAATTTTTCAACCCCCATTCTTTCTGGTCCCTAGCCATACATAGCCAGCCCCTTTTTTTATTGCTAGTATTATTAGCTTTGATCTCTCTCCCCAACACTTGATTTTATTATTATTACTCTCTTTGGTTCTCAAACTAAAGAACCCATCAAGAATCAACAAACGAGAAAGAAACATGTTTCTTTTAGATTGGTTCTATGGGGTTCTTGCATCTCTTGGTTTATGGCAAAAAGAAGCCAAGAGTCTTTTCTTGGGTCTTGATAATGCTGGCAAGACAACCCTTCTTCACATGTTGAAAGACGAGGTCTTGGTTTCTTTCTTTCCTCATTCTTGATATAAAGGTCGCGTCTTTATTAATTATTAAATGTTTGTTTTGGTTTGTTGAATCTGGGATCTGTTGTTCTGTAGAGATTAGTACAACATCAGCCAACCCAGCATCCAACATCAGAGGAATTGAGCATTGGAAAAATCAAGTTCAAGGCTTTTGATTTGGGCGGCCACCAGATCGCTCGTCGTGTTTGGAAAGATTACTATGCTAAGGTTGCTTTTTGTTTCTCTTAATTCGATGCGATTGTTTTTGTCTTGATTTCTTTGTGATTGTATGTTTTCTTCAACTCTCTTGTTGAATCGAATTTTTGGGCTTTGGTTTTCGTAATTTTTATTTGTAGTACGTAATAATGAGTTTTATGCTGGTCAAATAGATGGGAAAAAAAAATCTGTCCCTGTTGATGGGAGGGTACTTTGGATATGTTATCTTTGCAACTTATTTTGTCCTTTCCGTGCTAATTGATGACTTTGTAACCGTGGCATGATAAAATGACTTCGGTTTTAAAAGGGTGTGATTTGTGGTTCTTTGACTGTAATTTCTCGATTAGTCTTGCCAGAATGGTGTGATTAGAGTTGCTTTTTTGCTGCTTCCAATTATGCCGTGTGTTATGCTATTAGAATCTCGATTTGGAGCAAAGGCAATTGTCCAGAATGGTGTGATTAGGGTTGCTTTTTTGCTGCTTCTAATTATGCGGTGTGTTGTTATGCTATTGAATCTCGATTTGGAGCAAAGGCAATTGTATTATGTAGCTGCCTTCTTTTCCTTTCTTGCCCGTCACTGATGTATTATAGATCTGGTTATGGCTGAATCATTGGAAATGCTAAAATGTCTCCTCATTTTCTTGCTTGCTGAGATCACATGTGCGCGCTTTGCCTTGCAGAATTACAGATCAAAACCATCTTTCTATCTTTGCGAACTGTTTATTGCAGCTTTGTTTTCAGCTGGTTGACTTCTTTATGTGAAAAGATAACCTGATTTCCTTCTCCACTACTCATGTCGTCGTGCCTTCATAATCCCAGCTAAACTTTGCCTGTTTTATCTGATTCATGGGAGGCCAACATCAATATTGGAAGTTTCGCTGATAGCACCTTTTTGTTTTTCAGAGGTGTTCCAATAGTAGCTTTCCAAATAACGCATCTTGGGTCTTTATGCAAGTGCTTTATGAATTGACCTAGGAGTCTTTCACTTAGAAGTTAAAACTGAATAATGAAAATGGTGCTGAGTTCATTGGTTGGAGGTAGTATGAATTAACTATGTTTCAATTGAATTCAAGTCCCAAAATATTTGCTGCCCCAAATGATTCTGTAGTTCTCATGTAAGGTGCCGGTTGGTACCGATCCAGCTGTTATGCGGTGTTCACTGTTCATCTGGTGTGACTGGTTTGTTTTTCCCTGTGGCTAGATTTCTAATTGTTTGCTGCACCCAATGATTCTGTAGCTCTCATGTAAGGTGCCGGCTGGTACCGATCCAGCTGTTATGCGGTCTTCCCTGTTCATCTGGTGTGACTGGCTTGTTTTTCCCTGTGGCTAGATTTCTAATACAGGCAGATATTCTGTAAACTCCCTCAATTCTTGTGA